TGCTCAGTGCACGTGCTTCAAACAATGGCCGAGTCCGATAATGTGGGAGCAAGTCGTCTGCTTCATTTGCAGGACTTGCGGTGACGTCAGCAAGATGCCGAGCTCTGATTGGCTCTGATTGAAGGATAGTGGGTAGACCCCAAAGCAAGCTGCCTCGAGGTCTACCCACTATCTTTCATTCGGAGCCAATCAGAGGTCAGCGTCTTGCTAACGTCACCTCAAGTCCTTGCAAAAGAAGCAGACGAACCTGCGTTCCGCATTGGCTATACGGCGCGTATTTTTTTAAGGGTCTATTCGCTTGCAATTAAGCTGACATTTTGAGAAAGGCGGAAATCTGAGAAGAAAAGCGAAGGAGCGTTGTTCCACGGGCTTTACGGGGGCTTTATCTCGTCAACACGGCTGGATCTAGCAGTATATCCGCCGACAAACGCGCGGGAGAAGGAAAGGCTTAGGAGAATGGGAAGTCGGAGGGGGGGAAGTTGTGGGCTTTGGAAGGGCGCGGACATCCTCCCTCCATTAAATAATTGCCAGGCGCTTTTCTGACGGCGGACGCTGCAGACATCGTTTTCCCGCGGTCTCATCAGCGCCGCTGGCGGACGGTGGGCCTAATTAAAATGCTAATTAGCCCAGATCGCCTCGGGGAATAGCGCTTCCCCATTTCCGGTCTTCGTACGTTTTTTTTTTTTTTTTCTTCCTTTTTTTGTATTATTATTGGCCGGATTTCCGTTTCTAATTTTCGATTTTCGGATCCCGCCTCTTCTCAAAGATTTCTTCCACGACGACTACTCCATGGGGCAGCTGCCAAAAGGTTTGCGGAGAATATTTGTTTATTTTTAGTTTCGACGCTGTAGTAGGCATCTTCCCGCCTGTGTTCTTACCTCGTGCGGTAAGGAGGCTGACGCGTCTTGGGGAGATTTATCGGGGGACAATATGTGTACCGAAACCACGGATGCTGTTTCAGAAATATACATAGAAAACTCTGAGGTAGTTCAGTTCGTTTCTGATTGCGTTAGCGGTACTGCCCGTTGCCGATAAAGACAGTGACTCGTCACTTATACGTCTGTTGCCTTTTGCTTCGATTTCAAAAGCTTCATGTAGTTCTCTAGAAAAGATCGAGGTACAGCTAAGCATTCCTTACGAGTTGTGAACGCGAAAGCATGCAAGCCGCTCGTCCGCTCCCTTTGTCGTCTGCTGCGTCCTTTTCGTCGTCGGTCGGCGCGTGTGCTCCCCTGGTGACCTTGGACGCTCCGCGCTGATGGACACCCAGCGCCATGGGGGGAGCGGTCGTGGAAACTGACGAGCGCAGCGGCCAGTGGGAGCCCCGTCGACGCGCGCCAGTCAATGAAACCGAAGGAAATCATTTGCCGTTTTCGCGCTTCAGACTGATGACGTCAGCTCGCTCCATAAGACAGTTAATGCTTTCGGATTAACACCCTATCTGGGTACCTAGCCAGAAACCTGCTGTCACTAAATGTGATAGTAGGTTTCTGGGCCTAATTCGTTGTCTACATCGTTGTCCGTGTTTATTTGGCGCTTACCTAGTTTATCATGAACCAACTGACCCAAATGGCCACTTTAATGTAGTTTTTAAAGTCACTAGTGAAAGAATGACGCGCGAATATAATAGGAAATATATGTGTAAATCGCGAATGTTCCACGGCTACCCGATTGATTGCGCCAGTCAGTTCTCTCGTCAGAAATGATTGGAGATTAGTCCAATGTTCAATTTAAAATTAGAAATGATTGGAGATTAGTCCAATGTTCAATTTAAAATCAGAAATGATTGGAGATTAGTCCAATGTCCAATTTAGAAGATCTGGATAGATAGCGCAAGCTTCTACCCAATTAAAAGGGTTCAGCCATATTCGTCTCTCCATCCATGCATCCGTTCTAAGAGAAACGCAAGAGGTCGTAAGCAGGCGTAATTGTGCGCACGAACCTTCAGTTACCGCGACTGTTCCCTCTGTCGGTCTGTGGCTGCACCAGGATTTGAATAATCCCCGTTAGATGGCTTTGATGACACGTGACTTGGCTTTGATGTCACATACCGCTTGGCGCGGGCTACCACCTGCCTTTCCGCGGCATCGCAGCTTTAAATAGCTAAGTCAAGTAAATATGTTACTAATAATACTATTATTATTAGTATTATTATTTATCTGGTGCTATATTTGCGCGGGTTCTTATGCAAACGAGACGCTAAATAAAGTCACGCGCTCGTGTCAGTGCCGGTAAAAGCGTTGCGCACTGAGTATGAAGCGGAGTATTAAAGCCCCTCGATCCTGGGAAAAGGTTCGCCACTCATTGTTGCGGAAATGCTCGAGACACTCTGGGAAGAACATGGCGTCTGATATCCAGTTCAGTGCTGCGCTGTTCCGCCATGATCTTTCCAAGTGCTGCACGTTGCACATGCCTCGTGCATCGACGAACCTTGCGCTACTTTTCAAACATAAAGGGGCTTTACGGAGTCTATAGGTTCCACGAGCTACGCTGCGTACAAATTTACGGTGATTCCAAAGATTATCATAAAGGTTTTTCATCTGAAATTTTTCTTTTTCAGCCGTTCTCGTCTACCAGCACTTAAGGTGATTAATCTTAGGTTTCGCTGAAACTGATATCGTATTGTCTATTATTCGCTGTTCGTGATAGCGGTGCCTGTTCGCTTAAAATTGACACACACCGTGTTCTAATGTGGCTTGTTGATTGAACAGCAGGACATAGTGATATTTTATGTGACCTTATTCCACCCTAAAACGGCCCGGGAAGTATTGGGAGACGCGACATTTAGTGTTCGTCACGTTAATCAGTCGCAAGATAACAACCTTGGATGAACTGGCTCCGTTTCTGTGGTACTTCGTTGCAGAATTCGTAGAAACATTGGTTAAATTGCGACGAACCCCGGGTAAATATTGCTAGGTTATGACCGTAACTTTTTTCTTTTTTACTTTTTTTAAAACGCTATTTATGCTGCGAAAGGGGCCATATTTTACGTATTTTTATGAAGCGTAGTTCATTAGTGCTTTATCACTTTTTAGACACGATGAACGGCTAGACGGCTCGCCAGACGGCAGCAATATACACCAACCTTCCGGATGTGCCGTAGCGGGCGTCATCTCACGTGACACGTGTTCTTCCGGTTCTAGGAGGGCGTTGGGGGCGCGACCTACCGAGGACTTGAAGACGGTTCCACCCGCCCTTATCGCGTCTTCGCGCCTGTGTTCGGGATTTGGCGAGAGCGCGGGGTGACCGCCGGCGAGATAATCGCGTCGTCAAACGTGACTGCGCGAGACTTCCGGCAGCGCCGAACTCGCCCGAGAAGCAAAGGGCTTTCGTTTAATTAACTGCTTAATTAAACTTCTCCGGGAGCCCTTCCTTAACTCTTGAAAGAACTAAATTGTTTTTTATTTCGTCTTTCTGATTTTTGCTTCACCGGCTACTTTTAATCCACGGCCTGATTCTCCTGCGCATCTCTTGTCGTTGTGCGCGGCGGAATTTACAAACTACCCCGAAGCAAAAATAATATTAATGAGTTCCTTGCGTATTAGAACAGTGTATTCCAATACTCTCTTACAATACGCCCTATTCGTGTGTTGTTGTAGCAGACTGTTGCCACCCATCTACTTATATTTGCCTGTATATTGGAACACTGTAGCGATACTAGCGTTGTCAGACTTGATTTTACACACAGTTGCAATAAACGCGCTGTGTATCTATCTAGTCTACCACGGTTATAATACATGCATCGTGTGTTAGCGTCACTTATGACACACCATTAGGTACATACTGCGTCATTCTTCCTTACAACGCAGTATGATGACACACGCACCGTTTGTCAGTCTATAGCCACACGCTTGTGATTCATGCACTTTGGGTATTTATCTTCGAATACACTATTGTCATAACTAGCATCGCGAATATGTGTATTGGGACACGGTGGGGATACACGCATCCTGTCGGCCTCTTTATTGTCACACACGTTTGACGCTCGCGCTCTCTGTCAATTCGAACGTTACGACGGACGCACTCGACGTTTATTTACGGTAACGCGTTGTTACTTTCATCACGCCCTGTGCATTTTCAGGAATATACACACGCCACGTCTGTCCTCACACGGGATGAGGGCTGCATCACCTATATCACGAGCAGGCTTTTATGCATTCCATTCAGGAAATAAATTGCGAGCCCGCTATCAAGAGAGAGAGAGAGGCAGAGGGTAAGAGAAGAAGAGTGGAAGCTGAAAGCCTGTGTGTGGTTTAGATCTTGTTTTGTTTTTAATTGTAGCACGAAGACAGTCTATGTTAATAGTATACTAGGCGCCCCCCCCCCCCCCCCCCCTCCCCTACCCTCTTCGCGAACGCAGTTCACGTTTATTCCCTCCGGATATAAACAAAATGTTTGTAGTCGCTGATGGGTTAAGAATCCAGTATGTGGTCCCCCTGCATCTCAAAATTTCTGCCTATGATAATGCTTCCTTGCACGCGTAGCCAAAGCCTGGCAACGAGGGCGTGCTCGAAGCAGAGCTTCCACGGAATAAACCGATCTCACCAGCTAGTTTGAGTACGCCACCGCTGCCGACATGCATCGTGGGAGCTGTGGTCTTTCTGCACGCGCGATAACCCTGCTGGAGGTCTGCGCGAGCAGAGCACGAGGAGGCATGAGCTGTCTCGTGAACTGGCGTCTGCCTCCTACGAACTACAGTTATGGCGGCGTCACGCATGCGTGGAACGCTTGGTGAGATCGGTTTATTCAAAGCCTGTCATCGACTAAGAGTATGGTTTCTTTATCGTAAAGAAACAAAAGGCATATCCTCACTTGACTGTGACAGTAACATCATGGTATAGGATGCAGTGCAATTCTTTAGCACTTATATTAATCTATAAAGTAAGTTATAGTGTATGCTTCATGTTCCTTGGTAACTCAAAACCTTAAAAAAAAAAAAAAAGCTCTTTCTCGAATGTTGGACTAACCGCTAATTTTCGCAACTCTCATCTGTATCTTTGCAGTGTACGGAACTGGGCGTGGCGGTTCGGCACCGAAATCTCCAATCAGAGTTTATTTGCGTCGAATTTCACCGAGATTAAAGAGGCAAGTGCACACTTGTTTGGCAACCCTGCGGTCGCCGCGTAAAACCTTTCTGCGAAAGAAATTTCACCTTACGCAAGAATCTGAATAAAGAAGCAGCGGGCGACACGTAAACCTTGCAACTTTCCCTGGCGAGGTGCTGTCACCGGAAAAATGTCTTTCTTTGGAACCAAATAAACATCCCCAACTTTTAAACGGGGAAAGAAATGTTACGGAGGCGGTGGTACGTTGAGTTCGGTTGTCGGCTACACCAAGTAAAACGACGCCTACACAAATTCACGTGTTGTTGACTCTCAATAAGTTTGGCGTTGTTTGCAGACAGCGCAGTGTTGTGCCCGTTACCGTAAACAAGTAACAAAATATCGCTACTCGTTATTTCGTAAAAAAAAAAAAAAAAATTAACACGTAACTGAGATTCGTTACCGTCCTCCAATTGTAACGAAATACCTTTACGGTTACTTCCAAATATGAACATTACTTTTACGTTACATTTGATTTCAATATTAGTTGGCAGAGATAAGCTGTGGATGTGAGTAATTAAACTTTTACAGTGCGATTTCGTAGTGTTTATCAAATCTTCGTTGTAAAATATGCATAATATATATAAGTATATATATATATATATTTCTTTTTAATTCAGATTCTAAATGACACCGCGGAGGAGAAGACCTAATATTTACCCTTTTCAGAGATTCCTACAGAGTGCTAATAATTTTTTTAAAGCTAAAAAAAATCAATAGTATTCGAAGGTTACGAGTAATGTAACTTTATAGATGATACCGTAAAATAATAAAATAAATACTTTAGTCATTCGTCATTTATAAATGTAGCGAGTACGTTGTACAAAATACAGACAGGTTATGAATTTACGTGTAAGGAAGGTGATTAAATGAAATGTTTAGCTTAGCTTCTACCACCGTCAGAAATGTTTCCTTCTTGTGCCCAGTCTCGGGTTAAATTCATCGTGGTATAGGTTAGATCCTTACTTCCAACACCGCGACCTCGTAGCGTTGTAACGTGTCTCCTCTTGGCGGCAGAATTTCGAAGAGTTCAAGGCCAAACCACACTACAAGGACATTGCCGTGCTCACGGAGAAGATGCTCAGGGACTTGGGCAACCTGGTCAGCTCCAAGACGGAATCGCTTAAGGTGAGGCCTCGACGTGTGACGCACGTCGCCGAGCTCACGTGACCCTTTCCTCCGCTGACGTCATTCTGTCTTGTCCGGTGCGTTCGCAGGTCCTGATCCAGGATGCTGAAAAGCACGCCAAAGACCACAAGTATAGCACCGATATTGATGTAAGCCCCCACGCTGACCTAAGGCGAAAGCCTTACTTGTCCCATTACGCAAACAAGCGGCGGCGTTGTGCCCGAAAGATGGCCATAAATATACGTCATCGAGCACGTGCCTCGGAAATAAAAACACAAAAACAAGCACAGCAACGCAGATGCTTCGTCACGGAAGCCGTCGGGGCTTGCCGCGCCTGCGCAGTGGGGGAGCGTTATGTCACCACCGGAGTGCCGTGTGCAAAAGGAAGACATGGCGCGCTGCTTCTAGAAATGCTCTGCGTGTAGGAACACTTTCGCGTTCCTACACGTAAGCACTTTTAAGTGTCTCTGCCGAATGTTTTTGTTCTGCTTTCTAGTTTCAAATTGGGCAGGGGGATTGTTTACTCGGTCCGCTATTTTGTTATAACCGACTTCGTTATAACCGGTCTCGAGAGCATATCGATTGCGCTCAGTGAATATGCGCCGCTGTTCAGCGCTTCTTTTTTCTGCGAGGGATCGGCTTCAGCCTGTGATAGCAAACACAGAACGACGATGAGTGCCGTGTCGCTGTACATTTGGCGATGAGTGATTGGCTCCACCCGATCGTCGACTGCACTTCGAGTGAAATGGAGAATATTAGGGTGTTGGGTAAATGTGTAGAGGCATTCCTAATGGCCCCTTAGAGATCCTTAGAGATTTGGTTAGAAATAATCCACGACGTGCCGCCGCCGATTGCCGTCGTACTACGTTGTTTCTTATATAGGAGAAAGACACGACGTCACCCCTATCTGGCCTGGCGAGATAATTAGGCGGTGATTTTGAGGTGTCCAATTCACTAGTCGGCCCCAGTGCCCTCTAGACGCGTGATCCGGACATGGCCATACGATGTATCCGCATATTTATATTTTTTTTACTAAGATGGAGGACAGTGAAATTCGTACTGAGCGTTTGAAAACTGCTCTCAAAACAAAAGTATTTGTTTCCTTCGTACATTCCTCTAAAAAAACCATTGGCACTATAATAATATATCCAGTTATATTTACTGTTATGACTCATGCACACTGGCGGTTCAGCAGTGTGCATGTATTCCAGTGTCACGTGTATTTGGCGATGAAAGCGAGCGGATTCGTTTCGCGATTGCAATTCGAACGTCAGTGTGAATACAGAATTATGCCCGGGTCCCACCAGAGCGACAAACGAAAACAACGGACACCGACAAGCCTCGATACATCTCAAACCCACGCAACGCGCGGGCGAAAGTAGCTTTGGCAGGCTGTTTTTCCGTGCTCGTGAAATGAGCTCGAGCACTTGAAATCCCGCCAAAAATATATAAGGAGTATTCACTGGGCGCCATATTTGTGGGTGATGTCTAGAGCGCATGCTCTGAATGTGGCCACATTAATAGGCTGCTAAGACCGGCAATTTTGATGGTGTGGAATGCACGTTGCAAAAGAACCGGGGAAGCTCGCCATCAGCACGCGCTCAGCAGTCGTGCACACAGCTATGGCCGCAGTGAATACTTCTTATTAGCGGCGAGATGTTTTGGTGGCGCCCTCCTATGGTTCCCCCTTTTGACGTCATTACCTTGCGAACAACAAGTTCGATGGTGTTTGTAAATAGCACGGTGGAAGCCTGAAATCATTGCGCTTTCAAAGCAACACTGTCAACACCGTCGAAACTAAAGTTCTTTCATTCCTCTTATTTTCGTCGATGGTATACCCTTTCCGACGTCATAGTCAGCTTTTGGGCCAATCGTGGAAGGCCGACCACAGCGACGCTTTCGGTCGCGCACGTCGCCAATACCCTTGTAATACCGCTGTTACACGGGCACACTTAACCGCGGTTAACTCAGCTTTAACTGCGGTTACGTGGCAGCACAGATGCCGCACTATACCCTCGGACAGCTATTTCAAAAGAAGTGAAGAGAGCGCGTGCACTGCTTTATTGGGTGCTCAAGATGCTCAAGCGCACGTTCGTCCATAGCTCTGACTGCATCGCCGTAGAATGTTGTCGGCAAGTATTGTGCGCTAACTGTGGCTTAGCGTAACCGCAGTTAAGTGTGCCCGTGTAACAAGGGTATAATACCCTTGTTAGACCCCTGTTACACGGGCACACTTAACTGCAGTTACGCTAAGCCACAGTCAGCGCACAATATTTGCGGACAACATTCTGCGGCTATGCAGTCAAAGCTATGGGCGAACGTGCGCTTGAGCATCTTGAGCACTCATCAAGGCAGTGCACGCGCTCTCTTCACTTCTTTTGAAATAGCTGTCCGAGGGTATAGTGCGGCATCTGTGCTGCTACGTAACCGCAGTTAAAGTTGAGTTAACCGCGGTTAAGTGTGCCCGTGTAACAGGGGTATAAGAGGGGTATTATTCGCGCGTATGCTGCCTCAGGTGCCTCCGGCTCGTTGGTGTCTGTTGTTTCTGTTTGCCGCTTTAGTGGGACCAAGGCCATGCAGTCGTTTATGCGTCAAAGTTGACGAGAATTGGCTGCATTTGATGAGAATTTCGCGCTGCAGTTTCGCTACTTCAACGCCAAGAAGTTGTACAAGCCTAACACGGTGCCCAAGATCCCGGAGGACGAAGATCCCGACGACTGGATGCCCATGGAACTGCACCAAGACAGACGCTTTGACGACGCAGACGTAAACTTCACCTACAGCACCATTCACGTGGCCACCAACATCTACAGCAAGGGTGAGGCCCTGCGCCCTTCATACGAAAGTTAGGCGACATTTCATCGCGTCGGCGAGCGTTGAGGCTCTGGCTATTTGTACCTTCTGAGTCACACTGCTCCTATATCATACAAAAAAGACGGTGTTCGCTGCTCACATGATGACATCTGCGGACAGGCGTCACGCACGTTCGTAGATAGATGTATGCTTCCAACGTGTCTGCATACAGCTATGGACAGTGTGAAAGGACCGGAACGGCTTGGACAGTGTCTCCAGTCTGTATTTTCTATGACGTATTACCAGTGTAACCACGGCTTTAACGTTGTGCATTGGACTGAATTCGTACTCCGCCTTGAAGTGCCCATATATATTTCTTTGAGTGCGACTTTGCTGGCGCCGCTCCGGTGCACTTCGGTTATAGCAGTTTTTATAGCGGAGCTGTCAAGGGCTAGTTTTCTCAGGATAGCCAGCGAATAAATGTCGACACAACACTCCAAACAGCTAGCGCCATCTATGAGCGACGGCGGCAACCTTTCCAGACTTTCCACTCTGGCTTGCCGACTTGCGGCTGGCCATTACTTCATTCCCACCATGGTACAGCTAAACTGCTCTTCCTTCTTAAACAAAGTGGAAACGCTGAAAGTTTTTTTTTTGTCTTCTTTTTGTGGGGAAGCGATGTGGTTTTGTATGTAGCACAGATAAACTTTGTTACCGCGTGCCCACTGAGGTTCCCGTTTCTTGGCATGTCTGCATGAACAGCCGCATCGGTGCTGAACGCCATCAAGTGGTCCGAAGGCATGAATTCCCGCTTCAAGAACAACCGCGTGGTTGACCCATTCATCTCCTGGCAGTTCTTCTGCAGTAGCACTGGGTTCATCAGACTCTTTCCTGGTGGGTGGCAAGCGTATCATTTTATCTTTCATTATGTATCTGCTTATGATCTGCAATGGACGCGCCATAAAACGGTACATCATTTTAATTAAGAGAAAAGTGAAATTATGTGTTTGATGAACTGCATCTGAGCGCGTGAAGCAGTGAAGCGTGCTTTTTGATTCTGGGCATCATTCAGTTACTGCTTGAATACTTCTTTCTATAAGAGAAGAGAACTGGGATTGGGCCGAATAGGCATGCGCTGCTGTCTATTACCTTGGTGTGCATAAAATACTAGATCTATTACTGTTGAGATTTACTGTATATTATGTGATCGGAGAGGCTTTTAAGATCACGATTGAACGTTCAGTAGTTAGCGTTGAGATGAATAGAAAGAAGAAACTCAGATTTGCTTGTGCACCTAGACGCGACACAATCCCGAGACTGCAGGTAAGCAAAGGACAACACACACAGAGACACGCACACGCACACGCACGCACGCGTGCGCACACAGACACACACACGCACACACACATGAAATGTGTCAAATCAATCGCAGCTAACATTTATTTCCCTCCAAAAGCCCTTAAGTAAAAAATGGTGCAGGGACAGAAACACTTCAGACAAAAGAAAGAAAGCAATCAGAAAGGGAAGGAGGAGGAGGTGGAGGAACGCTGGTTGGAGTAAAACACAAAAAGCGAAGCAAAACGATTACTTTAGGGAAGTAATCTCCCTCTTTCCACAGAAGTACCACTGCAGCCAGACACTGTTTTCATTGTGCACCCGCTTCTTTGCAGCAATGAAATGGCCGGAACAGGAGCCCGACATGTACGAATGCCGCACGCGACAATGGTGAGTGATTGGCAGATGGATCGGGTGAGTGCCGGGAAGGTCCACCGATTCAACTCCTCCTAGGTAACAAGGCCGCAGTGACGCACTTGCTACGTCACTTATCGGAGGCCAGAGTGGAGCAGAGATGAGACACCGGGTGCTGCTCCCATCTGTATTAGACTGTGGCCTCCGACAGGTTACGTAGCAAATGCAGACTACGGCCTCGGGGGATATTGCTGCGACCCTTGGCAGTCATTGGGTGAGCCAGAAGAAAGAAAATCAAAATAAGATAGACCGAAAGAAAACGATTTTCACAGAGGCTGAAAATATCTTTGTACGTCTGCGTTGAACAGTCCCAGATGAGAAATGAGCAGACTTCACGTTCAAATCTGCCAGATTCAGAATACGCAGAGTTGTATAAAGAGCGAATTCGGTGTAGATTTTCAGTAGTTTAGTAATGCGGATTCTTGGGCGAGTTGGTACTGAAACTTGGAGAACATAATAGCGCTTCACGACAGGGACAAAGAGTAGGGACGAGACAACACAATGCGCATTGTGTTGTCTCGTTCCTACTCTTCGTCCCTGTCGTGAAGCGCTATTATGTTCTCCAAGTTTCAGTAGTTTAATTATTTTCTCGTCTAATACCCCTTGATTACTCCCTCGTGTAATACCCGTTGCGGGTCTTCAAAGAAAACTACGATGACAATGATAATTCTCCATTTTTATTGAGGAAGAAAGAGAATTTACTACCACATGTCCGTATTAAGCACATTGATGTGGGCCCAAAGAAGGCAGCGAAGTCCGCCAAGTGGCTCGCCACAGCCTCTACCCGCCATCTGTCAATGCGCGGCTGTTTTGCGCATGCGCAGGTATGTCCAGGCTGCCGCGTCGTCGAAAGACGTGGTCATTCTGCTGGACGGGAGCGGATCCATGATGGGGCTGCGCAAGGAGATTGCTCGCAACGTCATCGTCAACATCCTCGACACCCTCACGGACAATGACTACGTCAGCATACTGCGGGTGAGACACCCCTTGACTCCTGGACGGTGGTTCCTTCGAAAGCCGTGACGTCATGTCGGGCGTTGGCGATCGAGTCACACCTTTTGGTGACGTCACTTAATGACATCGCATTTTACGACGAAGGTGATGTCTCATTTTTTGAGAACCGTGATGTCACATTTTTAATGACGTAGCATCCTGCGATGAAGGTAGTCTTTTCGTTTGATTCATTTCATTTCATTTCATTTATTAATCCTTAAGGGTCCTCTTTCGAGGACATTACATAAGGAGGGGGCAACACAAGAAGTTATACAAGAAATTTAAAAAAAAACACAAAAAAAACATAAAGATACATAACAACGCACACTATGCAACGTAGCTAAAAAAAAAACTATCTTGATGTGGAAAAATACAACATGATGGAGCTTTTGAAAACCACAGGGTCAGTTATTGTAATGAGCGATTCTGGAAGACCGTTCCAGTCCACAATTGTGTGTGGGAGAAATGATTTGTTAAAGGCATTACTGGAACCCGATATACGTTGAAAATTGTAAGAGTTATTGAGCTGACGAGATGACCGTGCGAGAGTGCGCAGCAATGTGCTTCGAACAGTGAGATGGTAGTGGTAAAGTTTATGGAGTAAGCAAAGACGTGCAACCTTGCGGCGTACCTCCAGAGTTGATAAATTTAGGCTCGTTTTCATGGAAGAGACACTGTTTTTATAGTCATAGTTTGATAAAATGTAACGGGTTGCTCGGTTTTGAATTGCTTCGAGTTGGGTGATCAAGTAATTTTGGTGCAGATTCCCCATATTGTACATGCATATTCCAATTTTGGTCGAATGAAGGTTTCGTATGCAAGTTTCCTAAGCTTTGGAGGAGCAGCATTCATGCAATGCCGGATGTAACCAAGGGTCCTTGTTGTGTCCGAAGAAATTGTGTTAACGTGATTAATCTATGTCATATCGGAAGTTAGTACGACACCGAGATATTTATACCTATCGACTTCCTCAATGATCTCGTCGCCCAGCAAATACTGGAAGGAGGAAGGAACTCTTTTACGAGAAAAGTGGATTAATTTGCATTTAGATTTATTTAGTGGCATCAACCAGTTGTTACACCACTGAGATATATTATCTAGGTTCTTTTGGATGAGTTTGCGGTCATTAGGTGGAGTGATCTCGCGATATAGAACACAGTCGTCTGCAAAAATGCGTATGTGAGAAGAAATAAAATTTGGAAGGTCATTAATAAATATTAGAAAAAGAAGAGGCCCAAGGACTGTGCCCTGGGGCACGCCAGATCTGACATTAATTAAATAAGATTCGTACCCATTTAAGACTGTGTACTGTATTCGGGAGTCAAGAAAATTACATGTCCACATTAAGACGAGGGAGTCTAGATGAAGGCGAGAAAGTTTAGAGATTAAACGAATATATGGGACACGATCAAATGCCTTGGAGAAGTCTAAAAATATTGTGTCTGTTTCGTTGCGAGATTGAAAACTGCAATGAAGGTCATGTGTATATTCAAAAAGCTGCGTCTCACAAGAGTAACCTTTGCGAAAGTCATGTTGGTGATGGTAGAAGAAGTCATTGTAATCTAAATGCGACATTATGTGCGAATAAATGATATGTTCAAGAAGTTTAGATGGAACGGAAGTTAGTGAAATGGGACGATAGTTAGAAGGCAAGGAACGATCATCACTTTTGTGGACTGGAACAATCCTAACTACTTTCCGATCGGATGGGAGGCAACCTTCGGATAGCGACTGATTAAATAACAGTTGCAAAATATCACTAGATACAATCTTAGTATTTTTCAGAATCTTCGATGATATGTTATCTGACCCTGAGGATGATGAAAGCTTGAGCCCATCGATAAGAGTGGCAATACCGGCCGATGAAACGTTGATAGGGGCCATGGGCTCGTAGTGAACAGCGGGTAGCTCAGGCACATTTAAAGGACACTCGTCCGTGAAGATGGATGCGAAAAAGGTATTCATTACCTCTGAGCACATTTTCTCCTCAACTGGGTTGCCACCCTCATCGACAAGTTGAATGATATCATTGTTGTTTTTTGACGTGATTATATTCCAAAACTTTTTGGGGTTGTCCTGAAGGATAGTTGGAAGGTCCTGATTGAAATATTTTCTTTTTGAAGCTTTTATTAGATGAATATAATCCTTAAGACAATCATAATACTTCTCCCAAATATTTGAAGTTCCATTTTCTGAAGATTGTGATGTTTCATCCCTAATGACGTGGCATCGGACAACGAGGCTAATGTCCCCTCCTTTGATGGAGTTGAATTTCCTAAGGACCGTGATGTCGCATTCTTCGATGGTTCAGCGTACTTCGTTGACGGCTCCATCTCTTTCCTTGATGGCATTTTCCAAGGACAATAAACGTCACACTCTTTAATGACATCGCGTTCTCCGACGATCCTGACGTGACGTGAAAGTTCCTCGCAGACGTCGTCTTTTCCGAGGAACGCTAACTTACAATCTTGTTTATGACTTCGCATCCTCGGACTATGTCGTCACAATTCCTCGAAGATGTTGCACTGGGCGCGGATTGTGACGTCAGAATTTTATGATGATAACTGATCTTTTAAGGACCACCTAATAACTCATTGTGTGCCTGAGAAAAACTGCGAATTCACAATAATTATTCTAATCGTTCCAGTTCTCGGACGTGATCGAACCTGTTGTATCTTGCTTCCACTTCAACCTGGTGCAAGCCAATGCCAGAAACATCAGGGTGCGTACACAATCTATCTCAAAGGTAGCGTTTTTTTTTAAATAATTGTTGGCAAAGGCGCGCTCCATTATTGTTATAATTACCAAAATCCACAACTTACTTTAAATAAAATTAACCACAATCTAGATTTTTCCATCCTCATCTCGGGGTTTGACACCATGTGAAATAATCACACTTAGTTTTAACGATCCCTTTAGCGAGATGCATAACATAAGGAAGACCAAAATCATTTGGACGCCCTTTTGTTTGTTTAAAATTTAGAGGGGAAAAGGGTGTTTTGCGCGAACGTCAGTGTGGTTATTTTAATAGTTTATATGAACAAGTTTACGTTACGGGTATGTATTTCGCCTAAGACTAAATTGCGTAAGAAAATAAAATTAGGAATGACACCCAGGTACAGTCACTAAGAAGATGAAAACAGCAAGGCGTCTCTTTCAAACGTCCAATCTCCAGCACTTATTTTTTTTATCTACTTTTTGTCGTGTTTTGGTTGCGTGTGCACGCTGGAAACTCGCTAGACGCCAAAGTTTTATCGAGGGTGGGAAGCTCTCGCCGGGGAAACTTGAAGACTGCTCAGTATTTTTCATTCTCCCAGTAAATACAAGCGAAAACCCCAAACACCTGTTTTCAAGGCAGCGGGTCCGTCTGTTTTCCAGGAATTCAAAGAAAACCTAAGCAAACTGGAGACGGTGAACATTGCCAACTTCACGGCAGCGCTCACGCAGGCCTTCGAAATCCTGCAACTGGTGAGTGACGCTGCTTCATATTTCTTTCGGAAGGATGTTTAATGTTCTGATTCTACCCAAAACAAAGAAAAAAAGAAGAAAAAGACGAGCCAGAAAAAACAGCGTTAAAATATCGTAGAAAAAATGTAAAAACTAAAAATGTTTTCCTATGATCTATTTTTTTCCCCGCTTACTGAAATCGCGTGCCGGTCTTCATGCTTGTTATCTGTTTTGTCTGTGTTTGGGAATAAAACGCAGCGTCTCGTGCAAGCGCCTCCGTCAGGAGATGGTGAAATAGCTAAAAGGAGACACGTAAGAAATAACCGGAAGTGAACGTCAGAAAAGATAGTATTAATTAATCAGCGTGCTCCCTTTTAAAAAAACATCCCCTTCCGCTTATTTTCTACGCATCTTTCCTACCTCTTTTTACCATCTCTCGGCGGAGGTGTTCTCCCGAAACGTTGTGCGGAAGTTGACACGCTTGAGGATGAAAAAAAGCGGGGTTGCGCAACCTGGTGATAGTGATTTAAAGTAAATAAAGTCAATACGTGACAGTTTGGGCACAATACAGACTTGGAAATGCTTTCATTACAATGAATCAGTGCTATTCATAAAACAATTAAAATACGACTGTAACTAAAAAGGCAAAAAGGAGAATAACGTCCGAAGGCGGCAAATCAAAAGAAGGAAACCTAAACGTAAAAAAACGCGCAACTTCTAAAAATGAGAAACACTAACCAGTAAAAGTAAAAGCGTGTAGTACCAGAAAGTAAGTTTAGCGTTCAGGCCGCAGAAAGAATGTTGTTCTGAGATCGAACATTTTGTTCGGATCATTGTGCCGGCAGCGCACACACACCCATATATATATTCTAATGATCTTGTAATGTAGATTTGCCGTCATGTATGCCTTTGTTGTCTTCTACCTGGCAGTACAACAAGTCTAAACTGGGCAGCCAATGCAACCAAGCCATCATGCTGATCACGGACGGCGCACCGTACAACTACGAGGAGATCTTCAGGCACTACAACTGGCCCAACATCCCGGTGAGTAGAAGAGGCTGGAACAGGGATGCCTCTTCAGCTGGACTCACTAGATGCCGCTTAGAATAAGCCTTTGTTTCAGTAAGCCTCTCGGCATCCCTTCACCCTCTCCCCTGACCCTTTCGTCATTCTCGAAGTGCACCGTCCCTCACGATCAACATCGTGAGAACCTATTTTCGCTCACATCACGTTTCTTTTTTTTTTTTTTTATGATCGTTTTTGGGGCATTGGTACCATGGGGCACAAAAACATAAAGTAATGGAAACAGATACAACGGTACAGGCTGCTTTTAATTTGTACTTCGCAGACAACACCCCCGACGACGCTCGGTACTCGGAACAGCTCCATTATTAGGGGCGAAGCTCCTTAGGGTCTAGCCTTGTCCGGCGTCCGTGCTCACATCGATTGCCGTCCCATCTGTCTTCCTTAAAAAAATAAAAAAATGTTTGCGCAGTCCACAGGATTCTAACCTGTGTGGGGGGACCCCAATGGATTTCTAGTTCATCGCCTTAACCACTTGGCCACGACTGCGGGATGAGTAGGGGGCTCTGAGATGTGGTAGGAACTCAAGAACTGGGGATGGGGGGTCATGGATGAAACGTTGCATGGAGCCGCTCAACGTCTATACAGGAGAGGGCGCTGCGGTCAAATGCCTATATAATCGCGTTAAACTTTGCATGCATTGGCTCAACGTTTATAGACGAGAGGGCGCTGCGGTCAAATGCTCAAATGCGTATATAACCACGTTCCATGCCACATATTCTCTTTCTGACATGGACCGTTGACTTAAGCGGTGGAGATGCGTTCCCACGGCTTCTAGCGGATCCAAGCTGATCGGCTAGAAGAACCACTAGCTCTGCATTTCACCGACCATTAAGCAGTAATAATAAGGTCGAAACGCAACCCGGCACTCAACATTACCTATGAGCAGTAAAAAAAAAAAAAAAAAATCAGCACCATCAGCACTACCTATGGACAAAATCAGTGTCATCGGCACCACCAGAGCTTCGCCCCAATCAACATCATTCACCACGTGGAGATGCGGTCATTTTTTGGCACTCCTTCGACCGATTTTATTGCGGGCGCCACCACTGCTGACGTCACCTGCGGCGCAGACACGTGCGTTCCGAAGCCGGCACAGAAAACACCACCTAAAATATTGAAAACATACGCATCGTCTTTTCTCCCTTCATGGAACGTCATCACAATCGGATCGCGCCAACTCGGCTATTGGGCCCGAGTCCGACCTTCGACGCGCTGATTGAACACGAGCCCCGGCCGAGCACTGACTCGGCACTCGGGCCCAATCTCAGGCCTAGATCGATCTGATTGTGATGACAGTGCAGAGGCCTTCTGCTTATCTGGGTGGGATTGGCACAGAGCGGAGTGTCGACGTCACAGGTGCTTTTGGCTGACTCAGTCTCGGCCTGAAGCCGTGTACAGGGATGACATATCTCGTAAGCTTTTACGACACGGCTTAACCATAATGAGTTCGAGCGCCAATTCTAAAACTCTAATTCTAATTATATGCCCCCCCCCACCCCCCCCCCCCCACCCTTCCCCCCCCCCCCCCCAAAAAAAAAAAGAAAAAAAAAAAAAGCTTCGAAGTTATTTTTCTGCGTTCAAAGTTAAGTCATATTTTAAGGGATTCGCCAGCATCCTAAGGGTGTTGATCTAAAACATTTAAGGTGTAAATCCTGGGCCAAGTCGATTTACACTTCTAAGCGTGCAAATCGGCTTGATTTAGATTATTCAGTAAAGAAGGTTGTACGTGTGGCGGCAGCTTTCTATATTAAACATTTAGCAACATTCAATAAACAAGCTAATTTACACCCTAAACCTGTTTAATCAGCTTGTTTTTAAGCCGTGTAAACCCTTAAAGGTGTAAATAGTTTTACTATGTAAGGCGTTTCAAAGAGAAACCATTTCGCATGTTACTAAATATCAACGTTTTTGTTTGTTCAACGCACAGGTGCGTGTGTTTACCTACCTGATTGGTCGGGAGGTGACGGACACCCGGGAGGTGAACTGGATGGCCTGCGCTAACCGAGGTACGTTTCTTGATTTTCCATAAATGGAACATGAGGGTCTCCCTAAAGGGTGTAAATCTGAGGATCACTCCCTCGCGCCAATAACGCTTCACTGCCTCCATTTTAACGTTTTCCACCCTTCCGTTTTCAGGTTACTACACGCACGTGACCACTCTAGCAGAAGTTCGAGAGCAAGTACAGGTACGCCACGAGATCGTTTCGACATAATAAATTAACTCGAGCTAACGCTGCATGAAACTCTTTACAAAAGTGTGTTCGCAACTCCAACGGCGTTCCTTTTGTCCTATATGCTATGTTTTGCATCTCGGCCGCCAGACTGTGCCAGTTTTCTTGCACAGTTTGATCGGTGTATACCGCCCAGAAGGCCTGCGCACGATGTCATAGTTAATGAATCCCGAGCGGCAAAGACGCTGACGCTCGGCCAGAGACGCTGCAAAGACGCGTCCGTCTTGGCGTCGCCGTGTGCTAAAGTTGCGCTTGGTGTGAACTTTGTGAGACGCTGCATAGCTCTCCGGCGTAGCTCTCCGCTTATCTCCTTCGTGTCTTTTACTCTAGGTGGCGTCGCGTCTTCGGGACTAGCGGGTTCGATATAATAACGGCAGCGTCAATTATCCGAGGTGATCGTGGTTCAGTCGTGTACTTCGAGCGTGCATTGGACAAAAGCGTTACCTCATTCGGCGTGGACACGTCTCCAGTCACACGCTTCGCGCCAGGAGCAACGTTGGCCGGGAGCCAACATAGCAACTCGGTTGGGAAACTGCTTTAGAGCCTGCTTTGAAAAAATGGCTTCGACCCGTATTCATGAACCGAACTAATGGCGATCGCAGCGTCGCCATTTCTCCCGGAGCGGCAACTCCGGGAACTGCACGTCTGCACGTATCGGTTCGCGTCGAGTCGCGAAAGGGCCGGTGGCACCACCTGGCAGTGCGATTTGGCAGTAACAATATAAATGAACTTTCTCGTTTTTACTATAGTCGTTAAAGGGTGGAGGCCCTGTTATCGTATTTAGTTTGGTCTCGGTAAACGCGAGCGGTTCGAGTTTCTAGGGTGAGTTTCCCAACCGAGTGTTTTAGTAACGTTGACCAGAAGCAACGTTACTAGAACTCCCCAGTTGGGAAACTACCATAGAGACTGCCCTGAAAAAGTGTCACCGATCCGTACTCGAGAACCGAGCTAATGGCGATCACAACGCCGCCATTTCTCCCTCAGCGGCCACACGAGGAACTGCGCGTGACTGCGCGCACTGAGTTGCACACATTGTGAAGGTTCCGATATTCCCGTCATCCGAAGGATTGGACACGTGCCGCTACCCGAATGCATGTCGACGAAATTGACTGTCACGAGTCAAAATCGAATGCCTACATAGACTTCGTGTGAATGTATGAGCAACGTTTAAATATCGTCACAGCGGGCATCGCATAGCTCGATGAGGCACGCCTGGGGATCGCATTGTTGGCGTTGCGCCCACAGGTCCGTCATCAAATTTTGCGAAGGAGAGATCGAAAAACATGAAAATGTTCACTGTTATCCTATTGCGACGAAGACGCTTCTTTGTAAGTGGCGTTGCGTTCGAGTATTCTTGGGACCCACTAGTGCCACTAAGCTGGTGTAAAGTGAGAGAGGTTGCTACGCACAGCCCCTTTAAGGGTGAACGGAGTATAGAGTAGGGATTGCGTTCCGGGTCACCAGAAAATAAGCGTTGTACATAAGGATCTCTTCCAGTGAAGCTCGTGTTTTTCTCCTTCAAGAATGGCTCGAATTCGAGTTTCTTTCTTTGGGTTTTGACCGATTTTGATAAAAACCGACTCCCGGGTTAATGTTCGATGTTTATCGCCATTTTCCGAAAACACGTAACCCTACCAATAACAAGTATTTCCCCTCTTGCAGAAGTACGTCCCCGTGATGGGGCGGCCCATGGTGCTTGCCAGGAAGCATCCCATAATTTGGACCTCCGTTTACGGTGACATGACGGTGAGTTCCCGCGTCGGGAAACATCCCTTTCTCAGCTTGGTCAGGTTTTTGCTGGTCACTAGAGATGAACCAGACGGATGTAGATGCATGCCGTTCCTTCTCGGTGTCTCGTCGAAACCCCATTCCGAAAGTCACTCGTCTGCTAGGGTAAATGAAAATTGAACGTATCCTAATCCTGAGACAGAATGTGCAGTGTGTTTTGAGTTTTTCCCGTGGAGTTTATTTAGGTTTTTTTTTAGCTCGGGAACCCCGCTAAGTTTCTTAAATTTTAGCAGAAATTAGCGGGACAATCGATTAAATTTAGCGTTGCGGAAGTCCGCTAAATTACACTGTTGCGTTACACTTCTTGAAAACATTATTTTTTACGAAACCCTGGTCCTAACCATATTTAGCCAAAAAAAAAAAATAAAGATAAACAGCAAGTCCCGCGTTTCATATAGTCTATTCTAGGATGAAAATTTCTGTGTTGTATGCTAAAGGTTATTTTTGAGTATTTTCCCGCTTTTATTATTGGCTGGGAAGCTCAGACTGAGCTCCGCAGTATTAGGAGTGTTTCTGTACTACACGGTATTGCTGTAGTTTGTGTAGGTTAGCAACTCATCGCTTGTGCGTAGCGTCTTCACCTGTAGCCTCCCGTAGAGTGTTACATCAGTTGCACGATGACTCTATCTTAATTACGTTCACCATCTAATGAATAGGGATGACTTCACCTTGATAACCGAAACTCATTCACCACCGAACGGCGTAGCCACTTATTGATCGATGTATTTTAACCGAATAAGCTGCAACTTTTGTTCAGCCTTCTCGATATTCACCGAAAAATGCCGAAATGACGGACATTAGACGTTTCAAATATTTAAAAAAGACCAATGTGTTTTTGTTTTTTTTCGCTCAGCAAGGGGCGTTTTAAATATGAATCGGGACAATGCCACTACAATGAGGGGCAGGGAAGAGAAAGGGGGGGGGGGGGAGGGGGGGGGGATTGATTGTGTTGAAGGGCATGTAATGTGATGAAATGGAACATATTATTTTGTATTCCGATTCGATCTCAGAGTTTCTTCATAAATATTCTCAGATCCATCTTTCTCACTATTCGGACGTCAGCGGATGTGCATGTTCTTAACGAATATACGAACAAATAAAAAAAAAGTATAAATAAGATATTAAGCAAGTTCGCGAGCCTCGATAGCCACTTTTCCGGGACCGTTTGCTCTTTTCGGCAGGAACATTTACTCGATTTTTTTAGTAAATGAGAATTTTCTCGTATGCCCTTATCGTGATTTGTCTTGGGACACTTCGTTCCAAATGAAATGATGTTCGAAGTGAGCGGTTCTCGCGTTGAGCTAAATGTCATGTTTGGTTTGACATATGTGTCGCAAACAAGCATTTCGGAGCAGTTCTTTTGTTGAATAGAGACATAGTTTGGGTGACGTATTGGGCTCCGGCTTAGATTTCGCCGCGCAAGGTGCGCTTCAACCATATTGAGTAAATTACTTCGAAGACGAAACTTAATTAGATTGCAACTATACCTTGACCCAAAATTAGTTATTTACAAGTAAAATTTCTGGCTTAGAAAAAGCAATTGACTGAAATAACACGCTACATTCAGAGAGTAGGGCAATTATTTTGCCATTGTTTTCCATCGAGAGCCAACCAACCTCAGTAATGTTGATGTGACAGCACTGTTCCGCACTGAGATGATATTGATTCTTTTGTTGTTTGACCGTTACGGATTCATTGTACAGCATTTTATATTCGTCGCACTTTTGTGTCTGTTTCTTCTACCTCGTAAATTACACCATACGAAAGCTGATTGATAGCTACCCGATGCAAAAGTTATAAGCGATTTTCGGAAACTTCTAACGGGAAAATACGGCCCAGTAACCGACGCATCTGGGCCGGCTTGCTAGAATCAACGTCTTAGCTGGGACTGCGTGGAGGAAAGCCTGGGGCAGGCGAGTACTTGAGACTTAACTTCACGAGCCACTATGTTCGGGCGCTAGCTTTGGCAGTGCTTTCTTTCACAGGGTCTTAACTGAGAGGTTGATCATAGCAAGCCGGTCCTAATACGGACCGCCAGTTGCATTCATGCCGGCAGACTGAGCGCACGGCGTTGCGTGTTCAGAAGTTAAAAAAAAAGAAACATAGAAACCCTAAATGTTTTTTTAGAGACACCATGCACACAACTGTCATCTTTGTCTCCATGCACGTAGACTGTAATACCAGTCGCAGATGAAGATAAAGAGCCAAACGCAAAGTTAAAAATAAAATGCGGAAAAAAAGGAGAGATAAGAAAAAAAAAAAACATAGCGCTGCTTTTCTGTTTCTCGAGATGGGGATAAATATCCCTCCAGTTCATTACGCTGCGACGAGAGATTTATTGATTCTGGCGGGGTGAAGAACAGGGACGGGAAGAGCCTCGGAATCCCATCTTTGGGAGGACGTCCCTATTGTTCTCGTGTGTGCGCGCGGCGGCGGCTTTGGTCCGATATTCGGATCGACCGGGGATTGTTCCGGTTCGATATTGGCTTCTCAAGAGACCAGTGTTGTAGGCGCCACCGAAAAAAAAAAAAGTAACTAACTACGTTACACGTTACTTGGAAATAAAAAGAACGCACTACCGTAACGAATAAAATGTGACCCGCGTTACTTTTTCGTTACTTATGTTCATTAGGCTTGTGCGTTGCTTATGTCTTATGTACATTATGTGCATCTTTTTTTCCGGTTTTTAATTTTGAAGGTATGCGTGGGATGAGTACAAGCATTCATGTTCACTGAAAAAACACTTAAAAACTCACAAAATAAATTGACTAATTTTTTTTAAGTTTTGGAAAGACGTAACGAGTGACGTAGCTATACGTTACCCGATAGTTGAAATAAGTAAAGTACCTTCTTCGTTACTGGTTCAAAAGCGCAAAGTAACAAAAACGTTACTACGGTACAGGTAACGCCGTGACTCGCAGCGCGTTACCGCCAAAAGGGCAGGTGGCGTAGCTTTCCGGTTCTCTCGTCTTTTTCCCTCGGCTTTCATGAGAAGTGAAAAGCCAAACGATTCTCGAACTTTATAGAAGGATTACATAAATGACGAGGACAGGACGACACATCTCTCCCAGATATGTCGTCCTGTCCTCGTCATTTATGTAATTCTCCTTTAACACCGTCACTTTACCAGCACTCTCCATGTCCACGAGATTCTAGAACTGAGTTTGGATAACGAAGGTAGGAGACCCGCGCTGCTCCGCTTAACGCTTAAACGCTGCTTTCGGAAATACAGGGTGTTTCGGAGAAATTTCAACCGTGTTTTTCTCACCGCGAAAATATACTACGTATGGCCGATTGTTCAATATCCGTCCAAACGTAGCGCTTGCGGTTAATATAAGACTCCAGCGATTCAGGAGGTACTGGTTATCTAATTAAAGAAATATTTTAAATAAGGAAATGTCGGCCAACGGAGACCGCGAATGCTGAGGGATGACTAGCATCTGCTTCAAGGAGCGGGCCCCGTTTTCTCGTCTACAAATTCCGGAAATTGCTAATAACATTCGAAGTAAATGACGCTAATTTGTGTGACTTATCTAGATTTTAGGTTAGACTTGAGGTTAGGTTTGCGGTAGGAAAAGAAACGCGATTCGCTTTTTATTTGATTACTTTTTGTACTTTATAAGTTTATTCAGTGTTACATTTGTTCTGAAATATTTCATGTGATTTCAAGAGTCATTTTGATTTTGTTTTTGTAGGATGTTTCTGGGTGTTTTGAGAAGCCTGCATGAAAACGCTTCGCCAAACATATATGCGAATGGGGCGTTTACAAGAAAATGTACGAAGCCAGTGATAACTTAAGGAATCTAGGGTTTATTATGTTGCCGGTCGGTCCTCCAGTCAGGGTGAAACGAGAGCTGATTTTCTTGTTCTTGCCGCGGCCCTTTAACTTGGCTGGTAGCTTGTTCATCGATGCCCCGTTATTTCCGGGTGCGCCCAGTGTCTCGGTACAGCAGCCCTTCGCACCTTACTTATCACTTTTTATCGCTCAGTGCCGCGCTGTGCGCGCGTTCCCCGTCGGAAACCGCCGACAACGGTGGAGAAAACGACGGTGCCTTTACAATTTGCAGCCAGCACTTTTGGCTTTCGTTTCCGGCGGCGGCACACGACCGTAACCCTTTCCACCAGCACCTTCTCCCACCATCCGGCTTTTTTCCCTGTTTGTCGCGCGTCCCCTCTGTTCGCTCTTTCCCCATCCTCTCTCTTTCTATTTTGTTCATGCAGCCTTCTTGAACTCTTGCCTCGTTTTGCCCCTAGTTTTAGCTATTGTCTTGGCCCCAGGTCTTGCTTTACAAGTCCCCGTTTTCCCTCTTCCTTCCTCCCTAATTCTCTCCTAAGTGTATTTTCTGCCCTCTGCTACATTTCTCTCTCTTTCTCTCTCGTTTCTTTATTCGTGCTTATGCTGTATATTTGCTTACGATTTCGCTTCTTGCTGCCTGTCTTTTCTATCTCTCTCACATCGCTCTGCTACCCTCTCTTCTCTCTTTTTCCTCTCCCTCCTTTCTCCCCCTCTTTCAATCGTCATCACCATCTCTCTCTCCCTCTTTTGTCCTCCCTTTCCTCTCTCTCTCCTCTTTGAATCGTCAGCAGCCTCGTTGTTATGACTGCTCCTTTCTGGCTTCTGGAGCGGCATACAGCGGTGTTTTCGGGTCGCGCCTTCCCCGGACTCCTCCCCATGCCCTCCGCCCGTCTTTCTTTGTGTCGCGAACGCGGTACGGCGTGTTTTTTCCGGGGCGTTTGTCCGTGCGTGTTGTCGCCGTCATCGCTCCGTCTTGCGGCTGCCCGATTCCGCACGCTCCTTTATTCGCCCGCCTTACTTTTTTTATTTGTCGTCGTCATTCGTTTCGTTTGTTTGTTTTTTAACTCGCGAAAATTCCTAGGAGGGTTCGATCCGATTCCTTTCAACGCCACATTTAAGTTTGCTGGCAACGTTGTACGCGCATCTCTTTGCCATATTGGCTTGCGTTTTATAATATATATATTTTAGCGTCTAAATTGACGTTGCTTTTTTTTATTGCGGTCGTTGTCTCGTTGTCGTTTCCGTCGTCCACTTTCCGTTTCCAAAGTGCGCTCGAAAAAGCGGAAGAAAAACGCTTTAAAGGCGGTGCAAGTGTGGCATCCGCGCTACGGCGCTTTGCACGAAGTTCGACGTTCCTCGGTGTACATGCGCGTACGAATGCAGTTTTTTTCCTGATTGCGCCGTTGTGTTCACCGAATTACGTTTCCTTCTACCCTTAAGTTGACGGTTCCTACCAGTCGCTTAAAATTTGTAAGTTATTTTCTTTTATCGCCGAATGGAGAAATAGGAACTAAACTAGACTTGCTTAAATTGTTTGTGTGTGTTTCTTTTGTCATATTTAATTTGAATGAGTACATTTGCTCTATACCGTTTACTGCAGTGTCTGTTCTTCGCAGCACGTCTTGGAATTGTTTGTTTGGTACGAAGCGCTAATGAACACTTTCTGTAAGGGACCAGCGCGGTGAACCGCACAATTGAAACCTGAACTAAGGACTGGTAGGAACGACGTCTTTTCTGCGAATCGGAACGAAAGCGACTATACTTATAATTCGGTAATACACCAAAATTGCGAATATCGAAAACAAATAGTAATATCGTCCCGATAACTCCGAAAACCATATTTGATGTTTCGCCAACGCCTACTCGTACGCATCGTATCGTTATTGGAGCGCAAAAACTATCTACTACACCTCGGTGGTGTGGGGATGCTAATTGGGGGTCAGAAATACTTACTGGTCATTGAGCTCGAGCATGCTGCAGGAGGGCTGGGTTGCACATTTAAGCGTACACCCGCCGGCAATATGAAGGTGCACACCTTACCTGGTTTCTTGCCTGTTTTACGGCTCCCGAAAGCTATATTAACTCTCAACGTCTCAAGATACTCAATTGTGTAGTTTTGCGCAAGAAAAAGGGAATCTAAATAGTCTTTCTTAAACGGATATCCTTTTATTATAAGCGCACAAATACCCCCATAATATTTGTACTTTTGGTATTGAAGCAATTTTACAGCGGCCATCTTACGGTGTAAAGACTACAAAAAAAGAATTTGAAAGAACTCAAAGCCTCTGATCAAGTTGATTAAACATAAAAACAAACAAAAGCAGTGTAAAGTCAATTTAGGAAGGGTAATAATTAACGTAACCGAAATCGAAGAGTTATCTTTTGTATATGATGGCAGTGAGCAGCATACCCCAACCCCCCCCGGTCCCCCTTTTCCTTTTTTTTTCTTTCTTTAACGCTGCTGGTTGAAGTTTTTATTGATTTGAAGTAGCAAGCAGTTTGTGCGCACTGTTTGCCCAGCGAATTTCGCTCATTATAAGATCGATTAATTTCGCCGAATGCCAACTCAATTGCTAAAAGCAAACTGCGCGAAAAAAAAAAAAAACAACAACAACAAACTTTCGGGTTTTCTCGGGGCGATGACCCGCACTGGAAACAGTAGTGTGCCTAGATTTTGGAGTGTTTTCAACTACTCGCTCGGGGTCACGTGGTTGACGAGCCGCGTTTGCAACGCGAGCTGCGAGGAGCTGCAGAAAGCGTTGGTTGTCTGTAAGCGTCTCTGCATCTCCGGCCGATTTCCTCCTCGCCATGCGACGCCGCAACGCATGCGCACTCGCGACCAATCCGCGCAGGAGGAGTCCGCCATTAAATTGAAAACGCTCTTCGCAGTTTGAGTTGATCCCCCTCTTTTAAACCTAGGCTCTCTGGGAAACAGCTGACGCTTTTGCGGCATTGCGCACTCATCGTCGACCGTACCTCTTTGCTTGGTTATCGTACAAATCCTTCGTTCTTATCGGAGAAATTAGATTTCTTCATAATCGCGCAGTTAAGTGTCTTGAGATAGAAGCTTCGGTATATTGTTCAGACTTTTTCTTTATTGTACGAAAAATTAACGTTATGGCTGCCCACAGTCGAATCGAAAGGAAAATTCACGGATTTATATATTGAGAAGGATCATTTAAAAAGATATTATCAGAAAAAAAAAAAAAACTACTTAGCCGGTTGTGCTAACGGGAATGCTATAGCCGATTTTTAGTGATAATGGATAAACTACGTACTTAGTGCACTTTTATAACTGCGAAAGAGACACTCCTTACAAGTTACGATAGATATTTCCGAGACAACCTATGCATTCGCATAACCATGGAACTGAGAGGTGCTCGCGTAGTTCCAGCGATCGAGTAAGGTCAAAAGGTTAGCCTCGCAGTCTTCTCGTCCTAAGGCAAGTGCCAGTAAACTTTATAATAGATGCGAGTCAATGTTTATCAACTACTAATTTGAAAAAAAAAATCAAAACGAGCCATTAAACTACTTACTAAGTTGGAAGTTTTAGCATTAGGGACTTTTAGCAAACCGTTAGCGTGTTCCGCGCACCGCACTACTGCAGCCTTTGAAGCATGCTTTTAAGCGCGCGCTTAAAAGCATGCTTCAAAGGCTCCAGTTGTGCGGTACGTGGAACACGTTAACGGTTTGTTAAAAACTTTTCTTTAAGACAAACTTATCGCTTTAACGACTGCAAGAAACGTAAAGCTCATTCCTGCATGAACGAGGAAAGCGCCTGTAAAGGGTGCTTCTCTGTATATGGAGTGTTCATGAGGCGAAGCCTACCTATTACAATTTTGCAGTGAGGGCGACGTGCAATGGAAATGATACCACAGGTAAAGGAAACAATTGTAAAGCCAGATGAAATGGCTAGATCCAGATTCCAAAGCTCGGTAATCACCCGTTACAAATGGGAGCTGAAGGAATCCAATCCAATCCAAAGGGTGAGGACAGCCAAGGGTGCCCTGTCATGGTCCTTTGGGGTCTTCCCTTCATATTTATTACTCATTTGGGAGACCACCCTTTTATGATTAGAACTCTTTTCACCTAATATGTTTCTGGCATCACGATATATTATTGGCTAGGTTTGGTTAAACGTCTTCATTCAATTAGCTGTAGCGTGCCGTTCAACTTAAGTTTAAAGTTTACGGATAAAAATGTGAAATGTGCGCTGTTTCTTTCTAACTGGTGGTTTGTTTCACGGGCTCCCTTGCTCTAACCGTTTTGATGTTGTTGGGAATTCGCATATTATACTGCATTCGGCCTTCTAAATTAGTAAAAACCACCCACCCAGTTAAACTTGCCAATAGTGTTAACTCTTCTCATAACTTTATATTCAGTTGACGAGAAGACTGAACAGGTTTTATGGCATCCGTCGAGACGTCATTGCTGCACAACATCACTGTTGTTCCGAAATAAATTTGTTTCTTAACATCATTCTAAGCTTAAGATATGAATAGGCTAGGCTTAGCTTCCTCTGATCTTAAATGAAGTATAGTTAAGCATAACTTCATTCGAGGAAAGGTTCAAGGTAAAATTGGGTTGTAATATATGCCTTTGATTTCAAGTTTCGAATATTATGTTTAACTCCATCAGATGACATAGGCTTAAGGTATGATGGGTAAGGCCTAGCTCCCTTTGATTTCAAGATGATAAAATAAAGGTATAGCTAGATTAGGCCTAGCTTCCTTTGATTTCAGGTTGATAGGCTTAAGATATGAATAGATTACACCTAGCTTTCTTTGATTTCAGATTGAGATGCTTGGGGTATCAATGGGCTAGGTCCAACTGTCTTTGATTTAAGAATGAGATGCTTGAGGTATGAATAGGTTAGACATAACTTTTATTGATTTCAGGTTGATGGGCCTAATACATGAACGGGTTAGGCCTAGCTTTTTTGTATTCGGATGAAGACATTTGAGGTGTGAATGGGTTAGGCTTAGTTTCCGTCGATTTCACGGTACTATGCTTAGGGCATGAATGCGTTAGGCCTAGCTTCCTCTACAAGACGCGTTTCGGACGGTTAAACGTTACCGACGGTCTCTCGGGGGCGCCTTCAGGAGCCCAGGCTGACCGACTGGCTCTGGGAGGAGCGCGAGCAGCTCAAGATACGTAAGCTGATTCTGCAGCAGCGCCTGCTCCGCAAGAAGCAGCCCGACCGAACGCCCGCCTACTACGCCGAGACCGAGCCGGTATCCGGAGATAACTCGGCCGAGTACGCCAATGCCGAGCCCTACGGCCCCACGACGGCCAGGAAGCAGACGCGCTCTGCGTCAGCCGAAGCCCTACGACGCCCAGCCAAGAGAAAAGTTAGTTTCGGTTCGGCGACTGAAGGGCCCGTTCACATACTGGCGTTTGCATACGACCGAGCTCTTTTGATCTCTTACGACGAGAACACACGGACACACTGGCGCCATCTTTGAGGTGACCCTAAGTGCATTTCACTAGAGAGAATGTTTTGCGGTATTTGCGAGATTAGATGTTCATACTACTATCAGGGATGGTAGCCAAGCAGCACAGATTTGGGGCCAAAGGCTGGCAATGGTCCTTGGGCCAGTGGCCAGCTATTGGCCGATGACTGGCCTCTCTCCGGCCACTGGCCACTGGCCATCAGCCATTGGCCAAGTATTGGCCGATGAATGGCCACTCTTTGGCCATTGGCCAAAAGACCATCGCCAGCCATTGGCCAATCCATGGCCAAAATCCGTGCTGCTTAGGTAGTTTATAATATTGTCAAAGGTTTTTCGAGCCAAGAAAGAATCATGCTCGAATAGGATATGTACGGTGATCGAAAGTGCTCCACGGCTTCCCGATAGAAGGTTTCAGTGTGTTCTCTCGTCGTAAGAGATCACAAGAAATATTAAGGCACCCGGTTGTAAGCAGTCGCAAGTGTGTGAACCAGTCCTAAGAGACAATGCTTTCTAAAAATACCGGGCTGTACTACATGCAATTATTTCGAGTTTTAGATAAATATTAGTTTTATTTCAGCATCCTATTCTTTTTTGGAGGGGACAAGGAACCGGTGTAAACACATTCACTGCGCCATGGCCATTATGAGTACAGCATGCGTTTATGTATCATCCTTCGCCCCTCTGCATTTTTAAAACATAACCACACTCCAGTACCTGTGTAGTCCTAATTTATTGTATAGACTTTTTAATAAGTTAGAAGGTCACGCATTGCTAGCAGTAACATATTAACAGAATTGCAGTCTTTGCATGCAACTTGAACTGAAAGTAAATTTTGTACAAGCCTCTGCATGAATATCCTGCTAATTGAGATTAAATATGAACAGTATAGAGACGCTTTAGCGTAGGCTCCTTCATCTTAATAACTTCTAATTGTGGGTCAGTATGTGTGCTGATAATATTGCACTGTTTTCTCCAAAACAGACAGTACAGCTGTACACGACGGTGGCTGCTCCAGTCTTCAACACCAGTAACGACACTGTGAGTACAACTAGCTGCCGGTTAAATTGAAACTTGAGTAAAGTAACTCATCTAGGCAAAATGTTGAAAACGGAAATCGTACAGGGCTGATCAGCAGAAACAGCAGATGCCATTTTAAACACAAGGTGCGGTTTTTTAAACAGCATCTGCAGGTTTTAAACAGCAGTTGTAGTTTTTTTTAAGCAGCCGTCGCCGTTTTAAATTCTATATCCCCACAGCAATGACAGTGCCTCATGGGGAGCAATAAGAAAATAGAGAAAGTATTAATCAATTTTTAAGAGGAATAAACACGAAAAGCATTTCCAAGAGTTTTTTTTTTTTTTATTGAATTCAATGTTTTCCATGTGACTCATAACAGACTCATAATAACTCATAAGTGTGATGCCACACTTTTCCTCAGCGCACGCAACTGCAGAAGATCAGCACGTTCGGTGCAATATTAAACAATGTGTTTTTTAAACCATAAAACTCAGTCTTTAGAAAGGTTATTTCGTCGTCCATTTAAGATTCGAGAGGAGAACTGACTGGAACAGATAGTTATAGACTTGTAGCTGCCCTGATACTGACGTGAACCTATCGTTCGTTTCTCACAAATTCAGGCTGGCACCGCGAACCTACTTGGGGTAGTGGCCATCGACGTTCCTCTGCGAGAATTTCAGAAGCTAGCCCATCCCTTCAAGGTAAAACATAGAGGGTTTCGGGAATCCATCTCGTGCCTCGTCTAATACGATAATGATAATTTGCCGATCTTTTGTTTTTGCACGCAGCTGGGTGTCAACGCCTACTCTTTCATGATCAACAAGAACGGACACATTATTTTTCATCCTGACCACCGCCCCATGGTGAGCTCTATCGGGTCGATTGTACTCTGCACACTTGTTGGTTGCATGAGCTTTATTGTTTTTTATTCATTTATTGATGCTGTGAGCCCGTGAGGGGTGGAAATCACAACGTGAAAAAGCAAACATGCGCCTTAACAGAAATAATAGACAAACTATAAACAGTCATCCAATAATAAATGCCAGCATCATGTCATGAATAATTAAAGCGTAAGTCAAGAGGTAAAAATAATATTTAAGAAAACTAACGCATATTTGCCTCCATAGACACACAAAAAAATGTCATTGCCAAATCATAGTATGTATACGTATAGAGGGTACCTCAAACAATATAATAAATTAACCCCAGACAATTACAATAATTAATTATTTGGGGGACAATATTAATTATGGTCTGTCCATTATACATATTTCTTGCGACCTAGCCGGTGCTGTATTGTTTTCGTTTAAGCTTTATATGTGCAGACTGAAAAAAAAAAAAAATTGAGTCAACTACTTTCCTATGCACAGAGGTTCAGATAAGTCTACTTTTGGTACACTACTGTATTTATTGTTGTAAAATAATTGGAGTGGAATAAAACTAGACTGGTCGGCTACCTGTGCATCTTATGTACAAATTGTTAAAATAGATCTCGTTGGCTTTTAACTGCTATAAAACAGGCTTAGCTCGAATATTTTGTGACTAATAAATATTTAGCCACTTGAGCTTTTATTGTTTGATTCAGTCAAGTAATTTTTTGTAGCATCTGTAATGCAGTACCCCATTAAAAATTTGTGTATAAAAAATATTTTTTTGACATAAAACTGAACCAGATTGGTTCTCTCTTCCCAAAAATGTACGGGGAGGATGTGTTCGATAACACCATGTTGTTCTTTTTTTGTGTGTGTTTTCCTTTTTCAGTACAAGGATATGCTTAAACCGTACTACAGCAATGTCGATCTGCTAGAGGTGGAGCTTTTGGACAACGAAACTGCAGATAGAGTAAGCACTGTCATGTTTGTACCTTTCGCCTCTTCAAGGCTACTTTATATAATCATATTACACGTCAAATGTGTCATGAACTGTTTGTGTCTCAATTCGTGTGTGCAGACTAGACAATAATAATAAAGAAAATAATTATAAGAATGTTCTTTATATCCCAACACATTTTTAAGGTAACTTAATTTTTATATCGGTCCACTTGACAAGAAAGCTGAAGGTCAGCCGCTTGAGCCTTGTACTTCAAGTAAAGGCCCGTTTACAAACTTGCGTTTGCTTAGGACCAAGCTCTTGCGATCTCTTGCGACGAGAGAACACATTGGTATGCTGGCGCCATCTATGAGGTGGCCCTGGAACTGCATTTCACTAGAGCCAAGGTTTTTCAATATTTGCTAGATCAAATGTACCTACTGTCTCCGGGAGATGGTTGTTTATAACATTATCAAAAGTTTTTCGAGTCGAGAAGGAAGGAATGATGCGTGAAGAAAATAGGAAATATACAGAAGTTGTTACATGGCTGCCCCATAGACGGCGCCAGTGTGTTGTTTCGTTGTATGAATACAGTAGCGGAACATCAGCAGTCATGATTTTTAACGAGGATGAAGTTGAGAGGCTGAAGATACAGAATATTACAGTTGAGAGAGCTAGTAAATACAAGTATCTAGGAGTATGGATATGTGATGGTGCAGAATACCTCAGAGAGCACGAAAAGTATATAATAGGTAAGGGTAACAGAAATGCAGCTGTAATGAAAAATAGAGCACTTTGGAATTTCAACAGGTACGAGGTGGTGAGAGAGATTTGGAAAGGGGTCATGGTGCCTGGCTTGACTTTTGGAAACGCAGTGTGCTATGCATGAAATCCGAAGTGCATGCGAGACTAGAAATAAAACAGCGCGGAGTAGGTAGACTGGCTTTGGGGGCACATTGCAAAACGCCAAACCAGGGAGTACAAGGAGACATGGGATGGGCGTCATTTGAGAGCGGGGAAGCGGTGACCAAGATAGAATTTGAGGATCGGTTGAGGCAAATGGATGGGGAGCAATGGGCACGAAAGGTTTTCAGCTATTTATACATGAGGAGTGTAGACACAAAGTGGAGACAGCGCACTAGGAAACTAAGAGGAAAGTTTTTGGGCTATAGCGAAGATACGGAAGAGCAAGTCTCAGTTAAGAAGAAAGTTAAGGCCACAGAAAGAGATCGGTGGCTAAAGGGAATGCAGACAAAGACGGCTCTGGAAAGCAATAGATTAAACAAAAGAGTTATTGTCAAAGAAAGCATTTATGACAATTCTAGGGGAAGCTCATTGCTGTTTGAGGCGAGGACGGGTGTTCTGCGAACCAGAACATACAGAGTGAAGTACCAGGAAATGGATACAGTGTGCACTGCTTGTGGAGAGGAGGACGAGACGGCTGAGCACTTGATAATCTACTGTAAAGGGCTCCACCCTATGCCTACCGAAGACAACATAGATTTAATAAAGTCATTGGGTTTTAGAGACAGCGAAGGGAGAGTGGATTTCAAGACTGTAGAGATTACCAAGCAAAGATTAAGTGAATGGTGGCAGAAATCGAGAGAAAACTAGGTATTTTCTTATTCACTGATGGCAAGGGGGTTTCATAGCCTCACTTTCTTTGCACTGCAAAGTGAATATAGATTTCACATTTAAATATTCTAAGCTTAAATGGTAAAACGAAATGGCTAGGTGGCGTAAGCTACCGCCCGATCTAAAGGGCTCAGCCGTATTCATCCATCCATCCATCCGTTGTAAGCGTTTTTGAGAGGTTTTAAAGCACGCATCTGTAAGCAGTCGCAAGTGTACGAAGCAGCCTTACTTCTTAAATGTTACCGTTTTTGTATTAAAGCTGAAAACATATCCCCACCTATTTTCACATGAACGAGAGTACAAGAGACTGGCAGAAGAGCTGATTAAGAAATGCGGGGTATAACGGGTGCCGGGTATCTCATTATTGATCCACAACCAATGAGATGGCAGCCTAAGCCGATAAGAACGCTGGGAAACCAATCAGGAAGCAAGAATCGTGAACCCAATAAACCACGCCCTGTTAAGACTATACATATAATAAAACTTTCCTTTGAAGACACGGGGAACTTCAAATTCAAAGCAAAAATATGGGAGTACTAATAAACTTTCATGTTGCAGAAACACGTTGTCTAATTGTTAGATTTTTTATACCTTTTAACTTTTCCAGTGTGTATATTACGATAAGATAATACAATGCCATAGAAGGTTCTAAATCTATCTTCTTTTTTTCTTTTTCTGTGTCATTCCAGCTGTTCAACCATGTGTTTGCCGAGGTGAGGAACCGGACCGGCGTCATGGTGTTTGACACATTTTGTCCGCAAAAAATGGTCTTCTTAAAGCCCTTATGTGTTCACAGATAAGAAAAAACATGATTGACGGCAGAAGAGGCTGGATGGAGTTCCTACCTATGAGAGTTCATCTCGACGAAATGGTGAGTGCTAAAGGCCATCTCAAGTTAAAATTTGGATGTATTGCGACCAATCAATCAATCGTGTATTTTAGTGTGCCCCATGCAGCTGGTAGGCCTTAGGAGAGGTGCACATAAATGAGGCACAATACATAATACAAGTAGCGAGGAAGGATCAGTTGTGCACGACGAGAATAATCACTGTATAAGTGTAACAAGGGGGCAAAGGACAAACACAAATCTCCAAACACAACTAAATGACTGGTGTGCGACCAAAAAAAATCAGCCTGGTCCTGGTATTGGAACCGGCACCTCTCCATTTCCAGTGGAGCGCTCTACCAACTGAGCTAACCAGGAGTTAGACGTCAGTAGAGCAAGCGTGTTTTATCAACATCCACCAATATAACACCAACAAGGGATAACTGCCTGAATTTTATGCTTATGATAATAATGTAATTAGTAATCCAAAGGTGCAAGCGAGCCGGACAAGAATGAATTTTCTTGATCTTTTAAAAATTGAGATCGAAACAGAAATGTCTGCTCTACAAAAATGGTACACGCTGTAGTGATTTCATTTTGTTACATTATATACAGCTAATCATGCGTATTGTATACTAATGACCATTAGGTGCATGTGCTACGAAGGTCTCGAAGGGTGGCATAGTAAGACTATACAGGTAACTAGATACCAGTATGGAGGTGGGTTATGCAGGCGTAATGAATATGTCTAATTGTCCCACCAACTATGGCATCCTTACTGACCCTATGGTTATACGGATTTTTGGGATGTAATCAGTCCTGCAGTTGTAAAAGAAGATTGTACGATAAAAAAAACTATCGCTACAACGCACTTACCCTACTCATACAATCAAAATTTTATTCAAACTCATGACAAGAAAAGGCAAGATTCACTGAGCTTTTCGCTTATGCAAGAATGCGTTATCAAGGTGATTTTGTCCGTTTTTGTGAAGGACTTTAATTCATGCTTGCCATATTTAACCCTACTTTATCAACACTACTTTTGATAACGTATTAAATGACATTGTAGCTTGAACCAAATTTGAAACCTGTATAAAAACATTGTTTATTTTCTAGGTGTCCTTTTAGTCAAAAATCAATTATTTACGTTCAATTCAACCGAGTGACCCTGCAAACACCCGCGTGCCCAGAGTAGTGCACACTTCTCCAACAAAAAACGTATGCCTCAATCGTTTTTTTTTCTTTTCCCCTTACAGAGAAGAGTGGTGACAAGGCGCCACAACTACCAATATGGCTCCGTTCCAAACAGTGCATTCTCGTACGTACGCTTTCCGGAAAATTCAAACCATCCCCTGTGCAACTGTTTTTTTCCCCAGTTTTTTTAATTAATTAATGAATGCATTAGTATCCACATTACAGGGAAAAGCTGACAGTGTCCGTTTGTAGTCGAAACAGTGGAAAGGGAAGCGCGCCGCGTAGAGAGGAGGAGAGTAGCGAATGACAAGGGCGAGGGGGAGGTGACGTCACGAGGTGGAAACCGATAAGCGCGCGGATACTGGGGCGAGTCTGAACTTGCAGGTGTGCGGAGGGCGAACGCCTTGGCGTGTGCTACAAAATGGAGTGTGAACCAAGTACTATAGTGCTAATCCAAGTAGGCGGGAAAAAAAATGAGGAAGATCCGTTGGCGGATCTTCAGGGAATGTGTTAGCCTGTCCCAAAAGGGGACGTGTGTGGCATTCCCCAAAGGTCGTGCTGATGCAATCCCTAAGGATCCACCAATGGACCTTCCTTTCTTTTACAGCAATTTTCTACATTCAATACACTACTTTCTGAATATTAAAGGAACCACATTAAATGAATGCACGGAGGAAGGTACACAAATTACGGTTGAATGAAGGACTTCTGGTTCATCTGCGCAAATATATTAATCTAAGGTAGCTACTTTGGCCAGTTGGTAAACTTAACATGATAGGGATAAACAGCTAATTAGGTGCAGATGAAGAAATGATAGCGGCGACCGAACACAGTTCTGGAAGTGGTTGTTTCTTCTTCGTACGCGTTTGTGAGATATTTATCCACATCCTACTCATACTAACTTTAAAAAAAAAAAACGGTAGGGTTCAGTACTTCTGGAGTTCCCCTCTATATAATTGCATTGCATAGGCTGTTTAACAATTGCTTTACACCTATTAGAAACCACTTGTTCATATATGTGATTCATCTACTATAGGGATATTCAACTTTCAAACAGTCATTCTGTAGACCTGTAACTCGCATTTCAACCCCAGAATCGATCAAACTTAAGAAGTGGAACCCATTATGGCCCCACTGATCACTTCTCTTCATTTCCACTTGCATTGTGCATCTGCGACTGGAATGGCCTCCCAGATTCTTTAGTGACCTAACGAGACGCAGAGCTGTTTAAAAAAAAAAAATGTGAAGATTTGTTTCATTGAACCACATCAGTAATTGCTACTTATACATTTTTGAGTGTCTAAAAGGCTGTGTCATCCTTGCTCTTTTGAGCCTTTGTTTGGCAAGCAATGCAAATTTGGCGCGTGAAGGAAATTGCAGGAAGTGTTTCCCGACTGACGTGCTGCAGGTTACAGTACTCCTCCGGGTCCGTGTCATGAAGCTTCTGTCAAAACTCGTCTAGCATGCCGCGATAGTTTCTGCACGTTCTCGGCTTTCATCCTCTTAAAAGTGAACCTTTCGGTAGACATCTAGCTGGTTAGAAATTCATCAAAATAGAACAGATAAAAAAAAAAAAAGAAACTCTAGCCATCTGGAAAACCGGCAACACAGAGTACTGAGCGAGTGCAGGCGAGCTGGCTTGGAAACGACCTACTTGTAAACCCTAAGATGGGGAAAAAACAAACGGACAAAGACAAGAGTATTTCAAACTGAGGGGAGTTTAAAATTTTGTCGACTTCGTCCGTCCCTTCCTCCTATCTCAGGGTTTACAAGTGAGACAAGGACCCAACGAGGAAGACCTTTTTGCGCCTATCGTGTACTGAAGTGCTGCGCGTGAGTGCGTGGAGACGAGGACATGGGCAAACGCGTCTCCGCAAATCCAGGAGTCTGTCGCTTCTACGACAAGCATTCTCGAACAGGACCATACCTGTGTTATGCCTCCCACGGCTTCTGTCTCGCTCAGTACGTAACAGCAGCTCACAACAACATTTTTTCGTCGTAATGTGATTGCGCCGCGGCCGTGCGACAAACCTTGCGTTCGTTCCTGGAGAACGGTGCCACTCTTCGCCACTGTGTGGATTGGTCGATCCTCGCTGTCGTCTGCTCGTCTATTCCTCCGTGAGAATCTGTTTGGGAGGCGGACGTATCTTTGCACGGTAAACCAATCTGCGGATCGGTCCGTCGTGTAAACGGGTCGGCACCGTCAGCGCTATGTCGGCGGCTTTTTGGACGTATGGAGCGGAAAAACAAACGCACGAAGCAGAAAAATAATACATGTTTCTACCTATGGAAGCTCAGCGGGACCGGCGCTTCTGAACGTAAAATCTGGGAAAACATACAAACCGGGAACGTATCAAGTATGTTCCACGTTGTATCAATCTTCGTGCTTACATTAATTTTTTTGTGTGTGTACGAATTCTTGTTAATGTAATACATTCATAAAGATATCCTGAGCCAAACAAATTAAATGAAATTAAAGAGCTCATATGGTACTCCTTTAACTCTTTCCAGGTTTGGAATCGCTGTTCCCCAACCATATGGCTCCACCGAAGTCTTGGGCGAGGTAGAGGTTCAATCAAGAGAAGAGGACTGTGAGTTCACATATTCCAATTATTGCCCCAAAGAGAGAAATATAAGTTGAAAGACTGCCACTTCCTAGGCGATTCACAAAGGGGTTTGTACTCGCCTGGCAAGTGGGGAACGAAAAAAGAAATGGATGAGGATGAGCAAAAAAGGGGAATCCATGTTATTACGTCACCAATTAAGGTTATTGAATTGTGTATTAATATTGGCAATCAATAAATGAGGCCAGACAATCACCCCATCCAACAGATCAGTGGTCGCCGGTGAGGTTTACGGGCACCATCAAATGATCATTAGCACGTTCCCTGTTGCTCTCAGTCTTTATAGTACCTTGGACAGTTTCATGAATCAGTGATAGTATTCAGCCATGTCGGTACTCTTTCATGTTCTAGTACTTCTAAAGGTTATTGGCTGGCGTGAAATTTCGCCCCTTAGGTTATTAGCCTGTCCCGAGACATTAGTAGATTAGAATAGACCTTCTAATAAAAAAAAACAAAAACTACTGGATATTGCTTGTCGCGTTAACAGTGTCGCACTTACAAATAATGTTCACCATAAAGACAGCAGTATATTCAAAAGAATTGCTGGAAAACGAATGTGAAAAGGAAAAAAATGAAAGTCGTTTAGAAATCTGTAATGCGAAATTGGAGCTCAGCTGTGGAGAGTACGGAGGAGAGGGTAGCTCAGCTCAGGAGGGTACGGAGGAGAGGGTATGCTCCTCCTTCTCCTCCGTACCCTCTAACCTTCCCTCCTCTTCCTACATCGCCTTCTGCTCATCTCCCCTCCTTCTACTCCCCTTCTCCTCCTGCGTACCCTCCTATACTCCTCTTCCGTACCCTCCTCTCCTCTCACAGTTCCCGCTAAATTTAGGTAAACAGTTGACACCACGTGACTTCAACACCAATTTTGTTTCTCCGCTAAATTTAGCGGGGAAAATGACGTCACATGATTTGCTCTCACGTCACCTATGAACAAATTCAGTTTTTTAGCGGGGAATTGAATTGGGGTTGAGCTCACGTGACGTCGATTTTCCCGCTAAATCGAGCGAAGAAACTGACTTTGTCATGTAAATCTAGCGGAGAAACTAAATTTCCCCGCAAAACTTAGTGGGGAATCCAATTGGTGTTGAGATGACGTGAAGACAAATTTTCCTACTAAATTTAGCGCGGTTAGGCCGACGCCGCGAAACCCGGAAACGGGCGCCTAAGAGCTGTGCTCTAAAAATGACTGATTCAGAATGTTTCGAGTAATAGGCTTTAACCCGAACAGAATATATGTGAGCGGCAAATGGATGCATATCATTTTATCTTTTTTTGTTTAAAATGATATGCAAAGTGAATACTAAGCACAGTTTTTGTTTCCTTTTTCAGGGAGGAAGTACTTTGAGGGAGACAACTGGAGGGTTCATCCTGACTGGTATTCTTGTCTTTATTCACCAACCTTGGAACGAAACAAACGCATGCTCTGGTGCACTCGGCAATGTCAGTGGATAGTAGCTGGGCTTCTAAAGAGCTTGGCATTCAAAATGAGGAGAACGTAGGTTGGATGCGGGACAACCGAGGGACCTCTGCCGTCCTCACCCCGTCGCTGACCTCTTCGCACGCTCAGCAAGACGCCCGTGTCTTGCAGGGAGTACTGCGTGGACATCCACAGCACGTACGAAACCCCCGAGACAATAATCACGGACTTCTTGGAGCGAGTCATGAAGGAACCTTCCGAGGCATCGTCGGAGCGTTTCAAGTGGAAGCCCGACTCCAAGCGACAGTTCTACAACACCATGGTCTGTAAGTTGACCTCGAGTCTCGTTTAGCTGCGTTTCCCTGAGAGGTTCGCTTCTCCACTGATGCTCAGCGTTGCGCGATGTATAGCTCGCTGTTAACTCTTCTCTGTCGCTTCCCAGTACAGGGTGAGCCCACCTCCCCCTCCCCAAACATTTACGGGTATTTTTTTTTTACCACAAGACTAATCTATATATTGCCAAACGCTCATTTTCCGGCCAAATGTCGGTCCGAACTGAATGTCAAAGTTCAAAGCCAACCATCATCTTATTCAAAAGTTATGTGATTTTTTTTTTTTTGGGGGGGGGGTTGTGACGGCCTTCGAACACATGGAGCTGAATGGCGCCAGTTACCAAGAATGGGGTTAATTGTTTCATTAGAATTCTTCCCGATTTCTTGGCTAGGTCCAACACACAAAACGTGCGTCACGGAACGCTGGTGAAATTGCTTCTGCATAGTTGTAGCGAATCCCTTTTTTCATGCGTGGTCGGTGCATCGACTCAACCAGTAGTCAGCGGCGATTCTTTGCACCGCAAGAAGACAGGAAGTTGATCTTAGGCGGGACTCCCGATTAATGTAAGGCCATTGGGTAAAGTCAAAACTGTTTATTACATTTATTTTTTATTCTAGAAAAAGAGAGAACACGCTGACTCCATCTATGCGGTGAAACTCTTTGTTCCCGTGTACTGTCAAGACTGGTTATAACGAAGTCGACGGGAATCGGAAATCACTTCGCTATATCCGCTATTTCGTTATAACCGACTTCGGCTATAACGAAGTCCAAAAGGGAATGGGAAATCGTGATAGCTTCGCTGTAGCCGCTATTTTGTTGTAACCGACTTCGTTAGAACCGGTCTCGACAGTATTTCCTATTTTTTGCCGCATCATTCTTTCCGCCTAGACTCGAAAAACCTTTGACAGTGTCATAAACGAATATTTCTCCCGATAGTACGTACATTTGGGCGCTGACTGTGAGGTCGGTGCCTCCCTCAGGCGACAAGGAGCTGGTGCAAAGCTTGGTGTTCGATGCCAAGGTGACCAGCCCCGAGAAGATCATGGCCCGCCAGCCTTCCAAGCAGCTCTACTCTCATGTTTCCAAGTGAGGACCATTCAACTTCTGCCGCGCTGCGAAAACCACGACTTGGAATCGACAGTTAGTTAACGACAGCCCTATTGACTTTGATTTCAGAGGGTGTGTACTCGTTTGCTTTCATCATGTATGGCTATGCAAAGCGTAATAACAATACGTGGCTAGTGCTTGTCTGAATTGATGCGTTACAGTAGTAAAATATTTGATGCCACATCTAAAAGACCTTCATATCGTGTGATGTAGACGTAACCACTACAACAAATTTGGCTCTTGCTCTAATGATTTCAATCAAGATAGCGTGTAATGGAACTGTGCAAAAGAAATCTAAATTTACCTTACATACTTTTTTCTTTTAAATTTTGAAGAAAGAATCTGTTCGTTCTAGGCAAAGGTTTTTATTTATGTGCAAGAATTGTTTGACAAACCACAAAGGCCTTGCCAGGAAAATTGTATCGATTGTCAATCGGGTGTAACTTGAAAAACAGTAGTAAGTTTGTGGATTCCAACTTGCTGGTTGAAACCGTTTTTTCTTGTTTTCTGTCAATTCCACGTTTGCAACCTAAGTTTGAAATATTTAATGTTTCTACTGTCCTGAAATCGCTAACATAACTTAATAAAAAAATATTTTCGTTTGCTATCTAGCATTGCTAAAAATAAATTCATAGCATATTACATATAACATACAGGTGCTGCATGAAGCAGTGCTTTTTGAAGCACCTGTAACAGACTGTCCATGCTTGTGCATTAGCTTGTCCACTAATGACAGCAGTCAATATTTAATGAAGCATTAACAAGAATCCTGAAGCATTGTATTGGCTGTATTAGCCTTTCGTGCCAGTTGAAAGCTGGCCATATCAGGTGAATTCATGTGACTCCCTAATTTGTAACCTAAACTTGCTGTAGAACCGTAGTATGTACAGAGCTTGCATAGAAATCCGACACTAGCATCGCTTGCAAATTTAAACAACGGCTTTTATGCAAGCATGGAATTTGTTTGCATATGTGTAATTCCCCTTCAAAAAGGAGAAAGTTCCAGTATGAGTACTGTTTAACCTTAGAGCTAAAGCAGATCTTGAGTAAAACACTTTCAAGTTTCATATTATAGCTTTAAAGTGTTATTTGATTGGGGAATGCCTTGGCCAAGCTGAGACAAGACCTATCGTATTGTGTTTATGTGTATGTGCACTGTTGATTTAATATGCTGCATGCGCATGCCAAATTGCTTAATGTTCTTGTTCAGTTCTTTTTACGTGTTTTGATATTTTCGTCCCAATGGCTTTGGGATAAAAGAACGGCATTGTCTCATAGTGACATCATATATGAATATGCATCTGATTAGTTGTTGCTGGTTAACTGGTGGGATGTCTTAATTTTAAACTGCTCCAATTTTGATCAACTTGCTAACTGTATGATTATTTTTTACAATTATGACTGCAGAGAGGTATATAGTTATGGTCAGCAAAGAAATAAATTGTGGTCCAAATGTATACTGTAATATCCCGAGTTACCGCCCATCCCCGAGTCATCGCCCACCCCCCTTTCTGAGCGAATATCGATTTCCAAAAAAAAAAAACACCGAGTGATCGCTTACCTTAAATACCCCTAAGCGGACTCCGCAACCCGCGAACATTCATCCTACCCGAATGACGCGGCCGCGAACCTTACAGTTAGAGGACGTCCGTGACAAAGTAAAACGAAGGAGAAAAAGACACTTATCTTTACGCAATTCCTCTCCGATTTAGGCGACCCTGAAGTCGTTGTACATGCCTGCGAGAGGAAATCGATGGAGATAACAAAATGAAACTTTGTTTACTTACAGAAAAGTTCGTTCGGACAAAAACAAAGTCAGAAAGATAACACAATCAGTAACCCATTCAGGGATCGCGAGGTCTGCGAATGCCCCATGTCCTGAAGTGTAACCGCGGAGTGTAAAATCAAAGTCCGTCTCTACCGAAGGTCACCGCGAACCCGCTCCTCCTCCCTGAACGCCGCGACCGCGGTTGGTAAGATTGTGCGATGTTTAAGACAAGGCCAACAGGTAAATAAACATTTGCTGGAACGCTGCACACGGACGTTTGTAGAGCGTCCCATTTCGATCTCCGTGTTCGTGGTGCCGTCTATGCCGATCGGCGGTGTTCATCGCGCGTATGCAAGCAACGGACTTCGCGCTTGTAAAACGTTCTTTCGTTAGCGTTTCTTGCGTAAAACAATGAAACTAATTCGAGTTTTGAGTTTAACGTATCTTTTGTGCAACCGCGCCAGATACATACAAAAATAAAACGGGCATTTGTTTCGCTTTTTCTAAAGTTTCTGTGCTTACCTACCGAAACATGGCCCACCCCACTTTTTTTACAGGGTTCCATGCATTTTTCATGCACGTCAACAAAAACTCGCAGCGCCCTCTCTTTGTCGTCGTTCCAAACGCTTGCGTCCCTAGTTTCCTTCCGCTCTCCCGGGATGGCTGTTCCGTCGTGCTTGTCTACATTCCGCCGGGTGGCGGTCCCGTCGCGCGTGTCTAGTTTCCTCGGGTTCCTCAGGGCGGCGATAGTCGTCCACGCAAATGTATATATAAAACCAGAAAAACAAGTTGCCGTTCTCCATTTTCAATTTAACTTCTCTCGACGTAATGGGGAGGTTGAGCAACGCGCCTACGATGAGCAACGGCGGGAACGGCAACGAGAATATCAGCGGCGGCGGCGGGCGGTAAAGAGCACCGATGAAGAACGTGTATAGATGTGCTCGCACCTTTGCTCAAAATTCTGTGTCACGTATGTGTCGTCTGCTAAACAGCGTCCTTGGTTATCCACCTTTACAGGTTTGAATGGCTCATGACTTTATGATCTTCAGGCGGCAGAGGGGTGGGCGATGGCACGGGATATTAGGTATATGCATTCATAGCCCAATTCCATTCATGCTTCAACAATTTCACTTACCACAAAAACGATATAAAAATCTGTGTAGACTGGACAAGTAGTATAGTTTTTCTTGAAGATATACTTTAAAATCACTTTACAAAGTCTGGGGAAAATAAAAACTCCCTATCTCAATTTAAAGTGTCTGCTAACAAATATGTACTTGCAAAAACAAATGCAGCTTTCCAAATCGTTACATTGATGTTCGGAACATTTTCACGATACTGTGACCGCCAACCCCCCAACTGTCACCCCCTCTTTCCCAAACACATAACCAAACCTTTTCCGCAGCACTGCGGTAAGTAAACACAAAGCTTGCAGGAAAGAGGTGAGGTATTCATTCTTTGTACGAGAAGCGTTTTTCCTAGGTCTTGTCTCAGCTCGTAGAGTAACGAAATGATAGCATAAATGCCCGCAAAACTAGCGGCACTAAGTCGACACTACCGTACAACCACCAATGTCCTCTGAATGCCTCGGAGACGCTGGCAATTGTATGGATCGCCCTCGAATCCCGATGGTCCAAGGCAAACCCACTGGTAGAGGACTCTGACGTCTCTAACCTGCTGTTGTGTTTGGTGTGTTAGCCCCCTTCATAGGCTACTGGCCTTGTTGCCCAGGTAACGTGCACCCTCTTCTGCCCTTGATTCAGTCACTTGCTGATTCATTTCATCTCTTCGCTCATCCTCAAAGCCACCCTCACCCTTCCAGCGAGCGCTCTACTTCACAGTGCCCAGCAAAGATAAAACTGTAGACTGTGCGGAGTAGATGAATCGTTAAGCACGGCACGGCTCGTACAAGCCAAGTTCTATTATGAGACTTGCATTCCTGCAGTAAGCACCAGCTCTGTTTTCACAAAATTTATAAATTTTTGTCATTTCTTACATTTTTTGTTAGAGCAGTATGGGGTACGTTGTAAAGGAAATGGTGACGGCGATATTCATTTTGGCTCGAGAAAGTTATAGCAGTACAGAAAGCCGAGTGTCCCATGGCACGATGGCCCACATCGAATGAGGCAGATATATTATGTAGCACATTTTAGCTACTGTTATGAACAATAACAGGTACCATACGAAGAAATAAATTTCAGAGAAGTAGCACTTTCCATTTTATTTTTCTCGCCTGCTGAATACATTTATGGTGGGGGGTTTGTTTTCGAAACCGTCCTTTTGTCCGGGAAGTTCTTCGAACTAATATACTGCCGGGACTATATTTTGCTTTGAATCTGAGGCGGTCTCAAAAGCATAGTGTGGGTGCATGCGCTCTCCAGAGACACGACTTTCAAGAGCAACGGCATCGTGATGACCTTTGTGGCGACGCGGAGCGGTCTTCTGCGCTTCACGGACCATAGGAGCGAAGAGGAAAAGAACAGTAACTCAGAAAGGCAAGCTTCACTTTGGCCGCGGCTTGGGGACGATCTTTGTCCTAAGTCACACAAATTGTTTACGCCAGCATCTCCTACCTTCGGGAACATGGAGGTAGGAATTGGGCTTCTGGAGGCGACATGATGCCAACAGAGGGAAAGCCGGGTGGGACTTCCGGTTTGGAGGGGCATGCCCCAACGACGACAAAACACGAACAAAACCAAAGGACCGTAGTAGACGGAAAGGGCACCCTTGGGGGTGTTTTTATTGACCGTGATCTCTACTTCCGGCTTGGGATTTTCTTCCCTGGCGGGCTTGAGCCGGTATGTCGCCTCCTCCTCTTTTTACCTCCATGCTCGGAACAATCTGCACTCGCAAGCAAAAACGGTGCAATGATATGACACTTTTAGTGAGTATCTCGACTATTTCAGCATCCACCGTCAAAATATCCCAAAAAATTATTTTGACGTCTGCAGCCCTGCCAGACCTGCAACCGTCGCAGGGTTGACAGTTTCAGCAGCTTATATTGATATTGACTGATTTCATATTGATTTCGGCTCAGGAGAACCGCGGCGCCGCAGAAGGGCAGGAGCAACAAAGGTTCTGACTCGCCGAACAAAAAATGATCATATTTCAGTCTCCGCTGCGATTGTACGAAATACACGCATTCTCCCACAACAAATGTCATCCAAATAACTGAATTTTATGACATGAGATTCAGTTCCTTTGTCAATATAATATGTGAAATAAATCATGAAAAGCAACGAGGCTGCATTCTGTAATGTTTAGCACAACCAAGCAAACGTTATGTGCGGCCTGATAGCTGATATGTTGTACTTTGAGAAGTTCTTTTGGATTTCTTATAATTAAACGGTCATAAAAACTCCAATAGACTGCATGACATTTGTTTTCAAAAAATATGGGTTGAAATCCAATGCCACCTGCAAGCAAGATAATATTTTTGACCGCCACTTTCTACCGCTTTCAAGTCCGGACTACGACGCTTTAAAGTTCTCAACGTCAAAATAATGTAAAAAAAATGTTTTAACGGGGGACATCAAAATGATTTTGAAAATATTTTATCGTTTTCAGGGAGGGGCGTCACGGACGTCAAAACAATATTTAAAATTATTCGGAACGTGGACATTGACGTAGTCGCTTCCCTATCTAGATTTCTTTGGGCATAATATAGCATGCAGCAAAAAAGGCGTAAAATCTGGGACGCATAATATCTGGTACACTACCTTTAAAATCCCATGGATGAGACAGAAAGCTGCTGTCATTCATCGATTTCCTTTTCGTGTAGTTTTACCACTGTCGAGAACCAGAATGTTTACTCAACTGATCATTAACATATGCCACTCTATAATTGTAATCAAGGGATGTCAACCTGTAAGAGTGAGCAAAATTTTATGAGCCCGTCAAGCCCACCTCAATTCTCCCAGCAGACCGGTGAGAAGCAGTGAAAATTGACGTGCTACTAGCACCGCAACGGTGTCGCACGCGTTGTATAATTACAAAACAACGTGAAATGAAAGTGGAACCAGAAAATCCGGTACAATATAAATGAGAAAATGAACGGGCTGTTCCTGAAGCCCGAGTCACCCGAGTTTTGTTAAAGCCTAGTTTAAGTTCATGCCCGACCACAGAAGTGGCAAGAACCACACAATGTAGAGTGGCAAATAGGCAATAAAAAAGGGGGAGTCAAGCGGAAGTAAAAAATTCCCATAGAAATGCACCAGTAATGAACTAACAGTGAAGCAAACTTGGCGAAGTTTACTGATTTCTAATAAGTGTATCTTGCAACAAAAAGTGGCACTGCAGCACTTTTGCAGTGTGTTTTCTTTGTGATTCCAACAGAGTTAGGGTATGCCGGTGAATGTGATTGGTGGTGATGCGAGTGAGTGAGTGAGTGTTCTGTATTGCAGGCCTTTCTACGAGGTTCACACAAGAGCAATAGACGAGCTGTTCTACCGACGTGCGGTAGACTTCCACCAGATCGGCAACACGTCCTTCATCTACTCTGTGCCCTTCGACGCAGGTCAGTACACCGTACCAAAGCGGTATAGGCCCAGCACAAAAAGGGCCGTGCTAGGAACCTGAACCAGTCCATATCTACCCTTTTTTTGTCCTCTTCGCAGCAGAGTTTTCGGAGAGCATACATTGTATTCTTCCACGAAGAGCCTGTGGTAGACTGTTGTAATGCAGAGAAAGCTTGAAATGTGAATGCGTTGCATCTTAGTACGAGTCAGCTGTTTATAAGATAAAAACAGGCTTATTTATTTCTTATTATAAGGCGATAGCTCTGTAGGAGGCCGATAGGAAGAAAACATAAAGGGCCATGTTCAACTTGACACACCAAAGTTCGTATTTTTGTTGTTTAAAACGATGCAAGATGTACTCATAGACAAAAAAAAAAAAAGATACAACGCGAAACGAAAAAAAAATTTTCTTCAACGCGTGCACACGCTTTTTTTTAGCGCCCTTCTCTCCCTCTTTTCACCTTCTCGCTTGTTTTTATTTGTGACGTAAATAATTATGAAATTTGGAAGGCTCGTAAGCGTCATTTCTATAATATTTAATAACAATATTCGTAAAACATGTTTTTTTTTTTTGTTTGTTTTTTTAACGGCATTGCGAACGCACTACGGCTCTTCGTTTTTAAATACCGAAAATCTGAGTCCGGAGTGATCATGACGGCGAATGCGCTCGGCACATGTAACACCGAGGATGATCGGTGAGTCGGGGAATCGGACGAAGTTCTCTTTTTTAGGTGGCCGACGATCTCTGAGACTTGGAAAAGGAAATCGTTAAGCTGTCAAAATAAATGGGTTGGGTGTCTGGGTACCGTAGTTTCGGTTGTGAATCCACCGAGGCGGCCTTTCACGCAGAACCAACGCAACCTGGCCCCTCATGTCGCTCACAAAAGTTCAGTGGGCGTTCTCTTCGACCTCACACCGTTTCAAAAATATGAGATCGCTGAAAGGGCCCTAAAATGACTTCAAACTCGAAAGTGAAGCGTCGTCTGCTCGCAGCGACAGGCGGCAGGCACGGAAAAGAGCGTGATCGCGGGACGCGGGCGAACTCGACACTTCGGGTCTGGACGGTTCGGAGGCGTGAGAGAAACTCGAGTTGCAGGACGACTCAATCTGTGACGTCACTGCTCTGGCGCGGATCGCTCCGGAAGTTCAAATTCGGCTTTGGGAAATTTTTTTTTTTTTTTTTTTTTTTTCACTTTACAAATGCTGAGTTTTCAAGTTTCGAATTTTGTGGGTAATGTCCAGGCATCGTTTCCAGTCGTTTCGGCTAATAAAAGAAAAAAAAATGTCCTGTTAGTGCCATTTTAAGGTCCTGTTTGTCGCCAACATGTGCAGTGATGGAGCTATGTTAGCTATGTAAGGACCAATCACTCAGTTGGGCTGATGCATCTAGTGGAAAAGTAAGATTACATACCAGCTTATTGTTTGTATTAGTAACAGTCTGTGAAAGTCAGATAGCTAGAAACAGGTTGATTGATCCCGGACGAATGTAATCAGGTTAATGAATGCTTGGATGAGGACGTTGCTGGTGCTGAACGCCTGTGCAGGTGCTCGGTACGCTGCGAATGACAACAGTCCAATCTATGTGACGGGCAGCCGTGCGATCTTCCTGGGCACGGACAAGAAGGCTCCTGCCGCCGTTGTGGGTTTGCAGATTAAGCATTCCGTCTTCGAGGAGAAGTTCCTCAACATATCCTCTAAGGTGAACCATTCTTTAATTGGTCAATCAGTCCAATGACTACTCATGCATGGTCAATCGATTCGAGTGACAAGTTCCTCAGTCAGTCAATCCAATAAAAAATCCGTGAGTCAATCGATCAATCAATTCATAGACATAACTCAACCCTGAGACTGCAGGAAGCAATAACGAGACAGAAACAAAGTCTCTCTTGTGTTGTTATTGCTTCCTGCAGTCTCGGGGTTGAGTTATGTCTAATAATCTCCACCAGCTCGTTTGTGCCGACTTTCTGTTTAATCAATTCAATTGACCAATCTCTCAAACAATCCTAGTCTCTTGTTTTCTTCCTTAATTGTATCTCTTGATGATAATCTCCTCACAGGAGGACATTAACAGTATAGTGTCTTTCTTGCAGATTACTGAAGATGTCTATGTAAATAAAAATGTGCGTAGAGGTACAGGGGGTATTCACTGGACGCCATATTTGAGGGCGCTGTCTAGAGCGCATGCTCAGAACGAGCTCACATTAATAGGCTGCTAAGACCGGCAATCTTGATTGTGTGGAATGCACGTCGCAAAAGAACTGTGGAAGCGCGCCATCAACACCCGCTCAGCAGTCGCTCACACAGCTATGATCGCCCAGTGAATACTCTCCCTGTAGGAGGGTCTGGCAGAAGCAGCTGCGTCTCTCCGTCAAACCTGCCTTGTGTCAGTGCTATCGGTGTCAAGCTTTACCGCTTAGCACCGATGCATGCGAGTAAAATTTCACCACTTTTCGCTGGCTTCTCAGAGAAGCGCCAACTCCATGGACTGGGGAATTTGCTAGGGTGGGCGATTTATATGTTCTTTGCCTACACTTAAATTTTTTTTATTCGAAAGTAGGGGTTAGGCATTTCTTTGTGACAATGGGAGCGTGCTGGGTATTTTAAAATATAATACTAATGAGTTTTGGTTAGTGGGGCACATAGCATTATTCATACACGAGCATTTAAAAAATGTTACGTGAAGCAAACTTTATTGGGCACACCAAAAATTACCCTTCTTTTGGTACCTCCATTTGCAGTGTGAAAACCAGAAGCCCTGCCTCTACACCTGTGGAAATGAGGTGCGTAGTGCACCATCAATATAAAAAAGTACATGCGTTGTGCACACAGATTTCTAGGCTATCCCACATGTGTAAAACAGGTTAATGTCCCTTGGTGCTGATACTGAGGAGGGTCATCTGCATGTCCTACTATCAACAAACTTTATATACTTAACATTATTAGGATGAAATACGAGAGCAAAATCTAAAGCCTATCGAGTGAAATGAAAACTGTGCTGTAATCATGAGCTTGCTTGTGTTTCTTTTTCTTTCTCGCCTCGGAAAAGTTTGCTTGGTTCAAATGTAGAAATGTTTCCTGCACCCATGCTTTTACGCTGCATGTACTTAGGTGAACTTGTTCATTTTATATACAGATTGCTCTCAACCGTCCTGGCTGTTGTTTTCCTACTACCTTGAGTTGCAGTGCTATGCTAATTCTGGTAGTGTAGTGGTTGGCCTACCTCACTGGCACAGAATGAGGAGACCCAGAGTTTGATTTACGACCCCACCAAAGATTTTGTCTTTCGGTGGCATTTTAACGTTTAACACATTCAGTTAGTGTGGTTCATTCATCTGCATTTCTTTTTCGGTGCATGGTGAGAATGTGGTTTGTGCTTAATATTAATAACGATTACGGTAGATCGTTTTGTTTTTTTTGTTGCTTTGTTAATTTTATGTATAAGCCTTTTGAAAGTGCATTTTTAGTATGTTCTTGAATTTTACTTGAAATATATGTGGTAATTAATTTTGTAATGCCCTTAAATGGGTTTTTGAGGTATTATGAATAAATAAATCAATAAATCATTTGTTTCTCTTTGTCTCACAGGCTCTCGACTGCTTTCTCTTGGATAACAATGGATTTGTGATAGTATCCAGCAATCGTACTCAGGTAATGACTGATGTCACAGTTTTCATACTGTAAAGGCCCGTTCACAGACTTACGTTTGCTTAGGACCGAGCTCGTGCAATCTCTTACGACGAGAGAGCACGCTGGCATGCTCTCTCGTCATGCATGCATGACGAGAGAGCACGCTGGCATGCATTTCGCAGCCCCAGGTTCACCTGGGGCCGCGAAATGCAGCCCCAGGTGAACCTGGGGCTGCATTTCGCGGAAGAGGGTTTCGCAGTACTTGCGATATCAAATGTACACGCCTATGAGAGAAGGTTGTTTATAACATTGTCAAGTTTTTCGAGCTAAGAAAGAAATAATGATAAGCTAAGAAAATAGAAAATATGCGGAAATGCTTCCTTGGCTACTCGGTAGATGGCGCAAGTGTGTTCTGTCGTCTAGAGTTCCTGTACAGCTACCTACGGTAGCAGAGTTGCGCGTTCATCCTTGGCGAGCGGCCGTAGCGCCGGCTTACCTGCACGGCCATAGATTCTTTGCTCATCGCGTGAATGGATTCGGCGAATAGCAGTGCCGCGCACACCGCCACGCATGGAAAACAGGAAAGGAGGAGAAGGAGGCGAAAGCAGGGGAACATACACCGGGGCGCGTGCATTGTCGGCGGGGCGACCGTAGCGGTGGCTTTCCTGCCTGGCGCTGGATTCTTTGCTCCTCACGTGATCAACCTTGGTGAAGAGAGGCGCTGCGGCACGCGGAAAACACGCGCAACTCTGACTCCCGTAGGAAGCCTATCCAGGAACTCTACTCTCGTCCCAGGAGATTTTAAAAGGTTTTAGAACCCACGGTCGTGGGCTGTTGCAAGTGTGAACCACCCAAGCAGCACAGAGTTGGCCAAGCATTGGCCAATGGCTGGCAATGGTCCTTTGGCCAGTGGCCAGACAGTGGCCAGACAGTGGCCAGTCAGTGGCCGATGACTGGCTTTTCTCTGGCCAATGGCCATCAGCCATTGGCCAAGCATTGGCCAATGAAGAGTCAATCTTTGGCCACTGGCCACAAGACCATCCCCAGCCATTGGCCATTGCTTGGCCAAAATCCGTGCTGCTTGGGCAGTCTAGATACAATTTTAACTAGATGTTTGGGAATAGGAAGGGCAGTTTTATGAAGCAGCTTGCAGGCTACAAATGTGAGCACAAGCTCCTGCAGACTTTGCAGCACAAGTTGCATAGGTCCTCTTCCAGTTCCCTTTTCCAGGGCAACTGTGTCTCAGGGTCTGCTGTAATCAACTTTATGCCAATGCTTCGTTACTCAGGTCATGCTCAAAAAAGTGAGGTCCAGTGGTCATGCCGCTTGTCAGAAATTAGAGCTAAGCACAAGTGATAAAAAGTCCGTTCGTGTTACGGTACAGTTTGGAGAAAGCTGCGCACGCAGCCAGAAAGGAAAGCGCTTCAAGATTCTTTAGGAACGATAAAGATGCTAATTAATACCGCAAAAGTACGGTGGTGAGATTCTAACTTTTTTATTTCACGGAATTTACTAGGAGTATCTGAATTTGCAACTGGGGTGGATAGTGATGTCGGTGTAAACCACAAAACTGACAATTTTGTCAATAAGCACGAGAAATTTAACTTGGTTATATTTCAAATTTTGCCCCAGTTTTTACTGCCATGTCAGGGCAGCGGAACTAACATCTTCAGCCGAACATTGAATGCAAAGTTTGTAACATAGGTACTTTGTTAATCAAACAATGTTTACATTATTGTGTTCCATTCTTTCCAAGTTTTCACTGGTACTCTTGGCTCTGAAACCTTAGCATGACTTCAGCTGCTTGTCAAACCAGAAGATGAACGATTGAATGAAGTTGAAATTAATGGTGGCGGTGCCTCGTAGTAACATTCTGATCTCTTCTGCAGGTTGGAAAGTTCTTCGGTGAGGTCGACAACACGCTGTTCATATCTATGGTCAAGTACAATGTATACAAGAGGTGAGTCTCAAAATTTATACATACAAAGATTTGGTAGACCCTATTGTAGGGCGACTACGGGTTTTCTTTTAAGAGCCAAAGTCCAAAATCAGACAATAAGTCTAGGTTGCTGTTGGAAGTGTAAGGTAACTTAATGGCTATAACTTCTGTAAACAGGATTTTTGTCCTGAACCCATGAAAGCCTGACTCATTTTGAGAGTTCTGAAAACAGTCAGGATGAGCCAAAGTAGAGCAGAATTTTGTGGTTTTTCACTGAAACAGGCTTGGCTCCCTTGCAAAAACTTCTCTTCATAAAACTACGGTATCTCTCTTTATACGAATTTGCTCTACCTGTATTAACTGAGATTGACTGGTTTATTTTTACATAAAGTAATTAGGGTATCAGTTGAAATATTGGCAAAGCTTGTTACAACAGACCTTGACCTTGACCAAGGTTTCGGTCTGTTGTAAAAGGAGTATGTTGTATGCAGATATAAAGTTGAGTGAATGGTATGTAGAGGAAAACCAACCGAACTTCCCAAAACGGTATGTTATATCCAAATGTCTGTTGTAACTAGGTCTGTTGTAATGAGCTTGAACTATATAGGGAGTTTTCACATGACGTCAATTCGCCATTTTGTTGTTAGTTTGTTTTTTCAAACAAATTTACTAATATGAAGGATTACATCGCAACCTGTTGAGGAGATGTCAGCATGGTACGACTTATAAACTTCTGTGCTTTACACATTTAAGGGGTTATGTAAGTCACACGCCAAACAGCTCACAACAACAAAATGGAGGACAAAATTACGTCAGTGAAAATACCCTATTGGTCCATTAATAGACCAAATGTTTGCCAGCTGTTGTACTACATATATTTCATTGGAAAAAGTCTCAATATTATGGCAGTGGTATTCAGATTTTGAACGCTAAATAGGCAAGTAAGCCTTTTTGTTGATCAAAAGTGATAGTCAAACATTTCAAGGCTCGTTAAATCCTAGACAAATGCTAGCCTCGTAAAACTTCTCATGACATTGGTCTGTTGAATTGTATAGAGAACTCCGTACGGAACATTAGAAATGAAAGATAAAACAAAAAAAAAGCCCCAAATTTTATTTTTCAAAAATATTAATAGATATGTTACGTTTATAAATTATTTCTATGATTCTACATTCAAGGTTCCAGTTAACAAGCCTTGGAACCTAAGGTGTAAAGAGAGGTTTAAAATCCCCAATTCACACACGGTGTGTAAAAAGATGTCGAAATTACAATATTCCCACCTTACTTAATGAGCATGCTGAGCCTTTAATGAAAATAAATTAAAGTACTAAAAAATAAATAAAAATTGGGGCTTCTTATTAACTCTATAAACACTACTTTACTATGATCCCTGTATACTTGCCTCATAATAATTTTTATTAGTTGTGTTCATTTTTATTTTTTGCCTAATTCGGGCTCTATTTTGTATTAATGTTGGTGTCTTGTTGCATTAATATGTATTCCGCTGGATTGACTGGTCCTACACACAAGCAGAATTCTGCTTTCGTAGGCCAGCATTATTGCTACGTATTTGTGAAGTGAATAGAAACATATTATTATTATTATCATTATATGTTGATAGGTTGGTTTGAAGTTGAGTTGACGAATTACTCTATGATTCAAAAAGTAAATATTTCGGGAAAAAACATCCCTGTGCCGTTATTAAATTGGGTTTTCTATTTTTTGCAGGGTTAGGATTTATGACTACCAGGCAATATGCAAGGACAAGATCGTACCGTCGGGACCGGCTAACTTCCGAACTAGCGTGAGTCATGCTTTTACAGCTTGTGCGATGTAATGAGCACAAAAACAGTAGTCAAGGTGATGTACTAATAATAACTAAGAATAGAACCTTTCTGTAGTAATGTCAGTGTTTTCAGAAACAACCTCCACTATCTCAATTTCTTCATTTTCCGCGAATGGTATGCGACTTGCGAAAAATTAAGTCGTTTACAGTAGTCTGAAACACAGAAGCTGTGGCCACTTGCCACTGCCTTTCAGTATTGGTTTATTAAATGATTTATGTGGTTCGTCCGCAAGCGTCTCTATATCTGCGCCCGCCTTTCTCCTTGCCGCGTGGCTACACAACACACGTGCGCTTGCAACCGATGTGCGCAAGAGGCGTCCACCTAAATTGCAGACGCTCTCAATGGTTCGAGCTGCTCCCTCTCTTAAATCTAGACTCCCTACCAGAGAGCGACGTGTCCACGTTTTGATGCTACGCACCGTGTGCTATGTGTGCATGTCCGTGGTCCCTGTGCGCCCTGTGTCCGCGGTCCGACTTCCGTCGGAGTTCCATACACGGCTGCTGTGCCTGTTTTAAGGCGAAAGCCTTGTATGTCCCATTACGGGAAGAGGCGGCGTCGGCGTTGTGCCCGAAAGATGGCCATAAAACTATATCATCAAGCACGCGCCCCTCAAGGTCAAAGCGGAAGCGACTCAGAAATAAAACGCAAAGAAAAGCACAGCAACGCAGATGCTTCGTCACGGAAGCCGTGAAGCTGGCGGGGGTGCTGCGCCTGCGCTGTGGGGGAACGTGATGTCACCACCAAAACGCCGTGTGCAAAAGCAAAAAAAAAACAAATTTGTTTTTGGAGCGTCAGTTACGCTTCGGACTTCATCTGTGCTCGCTGTGTGCTTGGTGCGATGGACTGTGGGGCAAAGTTTGCGGTCTGGTGGCCAACGAATACGCAAACACGCACACATATATTAGAAGAAACAACTTTAATATGTGCAGAAAAATTACTCAAAAACATTTTACCCGCGGGGCTATAATGCTTTAGCATCCCTACACGTAAGCAGTCTTAAGTGTCTTCAGCATGTCTCTTTTAGCTCCCTTGCTTTTTTTCCCGCGCCGTTGACTTTGTTATAACGAAGGACTACTGTAGTGTCTTCACCAGGCACACTAAACACATTATAGAGCAAAAATGTAAAAACTGAAGTTACTTAACTGACACATCGTGACACGTTTTGAGCAAAACCAAAAAATGTATTCACACTGCAGTCAACAAAGATTTGTGCGCATGATTACTATCCCATTTATTCTAGTGTGATGGGAGCTTTCTATGAACCAATCCTATGTGGAGAGCAAGTCGTCTCCTTCTTGCGCAGGAGTTGCGGTAACGTCAGAACAACGCCGAGCTCTGATTGGCTTTGACTGAAAGGTTAGTGGGTAGACCTCAAGGCTAGATGCCTCGAGGACTACCCTCTATTTAATTTCAATCAGCCAATAAGAGCTCGGCATTCTGACATCATCACTTCCCCTGTACAGACGGACTTGCATTCCTCATATATGTCTGATTTCTCAGACATCATGTAAAGGGGGCCTTTCATTGACACTTACAAAGGGAGATCAGCCGATTTGGATCATGTTTGGGCCCCAAAATCCCATTCTGAGCTTGATCGTGTTGCGTTCAGAATCCTGATGCAGCTACATGCTTTGTGTTCAAACATTACCTCGAGAAAATGCAGCATTTGTTCCGATGCTGTAATAAAGAACAATTCATACATGCAACTTTCATCAACAGCCTTTTCATACCCTGTGGAGAGCGCTGGGCTGGGTTTGGAAGAAGCTCGTCATGTGAGCAGTGGTCCTTTTTCAATCTTCTCGTCGACTCTATCTAACGTGATACGTAAGACATGTATGTTTGTTGTTGTCACGCCTTCTCAATATTTGCAGGCTTGTAATCCACTTCGAGGTCTACAACCTGTTTCGCCTGGAGTGGATCATTGCATCAAGTGAGAATCTTTAGTCTAACACTGGGAATACTGTTATCTGTGCACTGTAGGAGTATTTATGGTACGAGGAAGAATAAATTAAGTGTAAAGAAATATGGTGTGCCCCCATATTTACCGAAAACACAGAGCATGTAACAATAGGTGCCCATCTGCTACTTCTGAAATGTAAAAAAAAATGGGAGTGTGCTTATTAAAAAAATTAATCTACAACAACAAAGGAAAGAGTGTCAGAGTGTCATTGGCCAAAAGAAAGAGAACAGCAGGCAGCAAATTTAATAAAGCAAATGTTTGATAGAGAAAACAAGAGTTGATTGAGTCTTGTCCAAGAGCAAGCGCCGGGGTTGAATGGCTATGAAAGGCCAGACGTGTTTGATTAGGGAGGTCACCCCCTTATCGTAGTAAAGGTTCAAAATACCTTTCCAACACTTAAAAACAAAAACTTAAAAAAAAACAATTGCAAAGATGTTTTTATATTGCATAAACAGAAAAAGAAAAAAAAAAGTTGGTGTTTTACAAGTGGCAACGCCCAAATTCTTTTTTTTTTTCTTTTTTAATAAATTGGAATTCAAAATGCAATGAGCATTGTTCTGATTTTATTGGATTTATGGGAGAGTGCAGAACCCTACTTCTAAGGAATCATGTGACCTGTTGCGTCACTGTGCGTGCAGGCGACTACAGCGACTACGGGGACTACCCGGCGGAAGAGTCGATCCCGATCCCGAGCAAGACGAGGCCGCGGCCGTGCGACATGGAGATCGACCTGTACGAGATGCAGCCCATGGAGCCCGAGCCAATTAAGGGCAAGCTCTCCAAGTGCAGCGACCGCAGCTGCGACAAGTGAGTTGGCACCGCCCTCTCTCCCCTCTCTGCCTCCAAAGTCGACGTCCACACAGCTAACGGAATAATCTAGAAGAAAAGGTCACATCTATTCTGGCCTCTTCGGAACGATGGGGCATAGACCAAACGTCGGTGGTCCCAGTGGGTGATCGGCCCATATCGCCAGTGACGCCTAAATACAGTCAAAAGAAGCGGCAAAACATTACCTGTAAGGTCCGTGCCTAGCTCTTTTCTAGCTTTTTAAACGTTGGCATCACGCTGTAATAAACAAGTCAGCCTAGTTTTAGACGTTGCCTTCTGTTTCTTTATCTTTCACTTTAAATACTTCTCGTTCCCAGTCTCGGGTAGTTTAAGAAAATGGTAAATCTACACCAGCCCACCTGTACCATCACTGTTTTATAGTCGTTCGTTCCGTGTACTGTCGCACTCTGTACCTCGCTTCTCCTCCCGCTGTGTCGCTGGCAAGAAGGTTGGAAGGCCCCCCAAACGTCCGCCAACTCAAGGTGACCTTGCCTCGGGAGTGCAGGCAGTTCATAGTCCAGTCGGTGCCCTCGAGCAACCTGGTGATGCTGGTGGTGTTCACGGACTGCAACTGCTCCAGTCAGCCCACACCCCTGCAGCCCAAGGAGGTGGTGCCAGACGAGGCCATCTTCTGCAACCAGAGCTCCCTGCCCCGCATGCGCCCGGACGTCTGCATCAACTACCACGCCGAAGTGAGTGATCTGCAAGATGCTTTCCTGGTGCTGGGACGTTGCCAAATAAAAAGACTGGTCTCCCAAAGGGTACCCTAGTAATCTTTGTTGATAGCCGTTGCTATTAGACAGTACAAGATGCTAGTATCTTTAAAGATGGCATTTGAATCTTGCTGGCTGAGCTGCGACGTTGCTATGTCTGGCAACCTACCACACATTGTCCTTTTGGTAGGGTATTGGTAGAGCCAGGCAATTTAAACATTTACCAAAAAAGTATGTAACACAGCAATTACTGAAATCTTTATTTGTAATCTCATTTCTGTTGAACAACTAGGTTATGAGATGCAAGCCCGGTTCATACTTGTAAAGATTGTAGAGCCCTTCAACTTCACGTGAAGATGGAGACCAGCAAAGTTGTTATTTTTATGACGTCTAGGATGATGCCTAGAGGGCCACCTCAAGGACGACTTCTAGGACAATGCCTAGAGGACGACTTCTAGGATGACTTCGAGGACGACGTCTAGGAGGACTTCAAGGACGACCTCAAGGACAACTTTTAGGACGACCTCAAGGACGACCTCAAGGACGACTTCTAGGACGACCTCAAGGACGACTTCTAGGACGGCCTCGAGGATGACGCCTAGAGGACGACCTCTTGGACGACTTCTGGGACGACCTCAAGAACGATGCCTAGGACGACCTCTTGAACGACCTCAAGGATGACTTCTAGAACAACCTCGAGGACGATGCCTAGAGATGATAACAAGGGATCAGGACCTCACTATCTAATAATGCCAAGGAAGGCTGACTCATGCTGGTTGCCCCCTTTTTATTTTTATTTATTCATACTTGCCACGACCATTGGGGAGTTCTCTGTCAACATCCGCGAACACATTTTTTCCCAGATCCTAGCGCATAACAGCTTCACTGTAAAACTAGTATTTTTGGCAGTCAGTTTTTGTGCACTAGGGCTAGTGATCCCTAAAATACATGAAAAACAAAGATGAGCTGTGGCCAAGCAGTGACCACACCAGGGAACATGGTATTGATTACATATTTATAATAGATAACACTGCATTTCTAAAACAATTGGAGTCACTGATGTGTACTACATGGTCTGGCAGATTGTTCCATTCTGTTATGACAATGGGAAGAAAAGAGTTGCAAGGGGAGAAGGAGGATGAGCACAAGGGGAGGAGGAAAAAGGAGGGGAGGAGGAGTAGCAGGGAGGATGAGGAGGAGGGGGTATGCCCTCCCCTCAGTACCCTTCCCTCCTCCTCCTCAAGGGCTGCACTCTAATTCGGTATTACTAGGGTGTTGTAAGCGTCTTTTTTTCTTGTAAAATTCGAAAGCGTAGCTCCCTTTTTGTAAAAAAACAGGGCCAAGAAACTTGCCCGGGCCAATGGCGGGCGGCGATGCAAACGACCAAGTTGAGTTGCTGGGCGTGTTTGGCGCGCGTATTGACAGATGGCGCTACCTATTTATCGAGGCGGCTCGCGACCACTGTGGTTTATTAAACTGAACACAATCTTTTTGTAATTTACCCTTGGTTAAAAAATAAAACTCGTCTGCATAACGATGGCACTTTTGCTGCCAACGGATTTCGTCTGCGTGTCATCTGCTTTCTTTCTCTCGTCGGCTCCACCTTCCGGCGCTGCTCCTGACGCCATCTATCAATATGCGCGCCAAACGCGCCCTGCAACTCGACTTGGTCGTCTGTGTCGCCGCCCGCCGTTGACCCTGGCAAGTTTCTTGACCCTATTTTTTACAGAAAAAGAGCTACGCTTTGTAATTAAAAAAAAAAAGAAAAACAACTGACCTGGGAAATACGCTTTTGACGATAAGTTTACATTGCCATGTGCAGGCGTCGATTTTTACGGTTCATTTTCCTTGGGACACCCTCTATATTCAGAATTCTGTGTTGTCATCACACACAATCGAGAAAAAGGTGAGGTACCGGAATTAAGAAATATAGTATGTTCCTATCAACCAAAGCATTTCTGAATTCAGACAAAAAACAAAAGCAGAAAATGATAATGGGCTAGGTGCCCCTACTTCTTCCATTTATCCTCCTTCAGTTCAGTTGATCAAAAACATGTCACTTTTCCTTTTCAGGAAGTGGAACTGAAACAACAGTGTGGCCGAGGCCATAGCCTCCAGGGATCCGTCAACCCGCTGCTTTTTCTGTCGTTACTGCTTGCAATCTCCTCGTCCTGCTCTTGGGTATGAACCGCCGACTTCTTGCCGACCTGCCGGCCGACCTGCTGGCCTACTGCCGAATTGGCCCCGATGCTTCAAGGTTCGTGACGACCGTGATCCCGGGATCGTCCCCTCGCTGTGTGCCTCCGACTGCTTCTTCGGAACTCCGCACCGCCACGAGAGAGAAGCAAGGCTCCGTCGCCAGAGGAAAGAGAATCTCCAGTGGTGCAAACCCCCTTGGAACTCGGCCACTTCGAAGCGGCACCATCCCGTGCGAAGCGCGCCAACTCCGTAATTTATTTTCAACCCCGCTCCTTGCCCCCAAGATTCCCGAAGGACTGTGGTTTAGGTGTGTGTGTGTGTGTGCGTGGTGGTGCAAGCGGAAGATGCAATGGCTGCCAAACTCGACTTCCTTTCTTCCCTCGTTTATTTTTTCGAGGACAGAAAGACGTGCAATGATTCCCGACCCCGGCCCAGTTTTGTCAAAAAGACGATAGTTTCCGGTGACGAAACGGAAGGGCGGAAAATGCGTTGTTCGAGGCTGGAAGAAATGTTTGTGCAGCGGTGCCGTTGGATAAACACACGCGGATGCAACACAGCTTGGTTTTAACGTGTCGCCGCGTAGAACATGCGTCGAGAGTCGTATCCGTGGTTTGTTTCTCTTTCATTCCCAAAACGTTTGTATAAGCAAGTTGGGGGGGAGTGATAATGGGCAAAGGTGCAACAAACAGTACGGTAACCGAAATTTTAGCACTAGCGTCACGAGGTAGTTTACGGCAATCATACAGACGTTTGGTTAGCCAACATCCATAGTGCATACTCCTAAGCTAGGAGCGGATTGTTTGCATGTATCCTTTCTGTTTCTTCTTCGAAAATGCCGGTACCTTTTGTCTGTATTCTAATCTCTCCACTTAGTGACTTCTACTTAAACAGATGTGCAAATTTTTCCAACTTGCTCCAGGGAAAACAAAGGGTTGCAATCTTCTACATTGTTCACTATCAAAATTTAAAAGTTTCCTTGATATGCTGAAAGGACGAAAGATCTGGAAGTCTAGACATTAATACATTTCCTCGTTTTCCCAACAACTTCCCCCCGGGCCAACGTTGTTGGCAGGTGCCGTGCTGCAACGGGACTGTACATAGGTTGTTTTGTACAAAAGACGGAAAGTCTGTTTACATACCGTATGCATGCACTGTAACAAACGCGCGTTTTTCCGTTTTCACTCTTCTCCTAGCAGTTGAACACGTTTTTTGTAAACTCGGCCGGACGCTGCTGTGTGCAGTAGTACCAATGGGATCACCCTGGGTGCAATTAAAAGTATGTGGTTTTCAACGACTCTGTTTTGTCCACTTTTTCGTCGCAGAAGATTGCCAGCATTCTTCTTGGAAGACAGCGACCATCCTCCAATGCCTAGGGGATCAGTGGCCGACAGATTGAACCCAGGGATCCTGGGTTCAATACCCATCCCTGCCTGTTTCGATCTGGATGAGTATCAAACTGTCGAGCGGTCCTGTATTACTAGTGCGTGGGGCATGTTGAAGACTCCAGGCTAGGGGTCTTCAATATGCACCGGCTAAATTTGTCAGCCACGGTGGAGACACTAACACGCTCACTGGGGCTGACTTACTTCTCACTGTCTAAACATACACACAACAAAACTACTTCTTATAATGTCGAGAATGTTACCAATCGCAACCTTCGTTCGTCACATATTCAATTCCACGACATTAATGGTGCTATGTTGCATTTTAGTTTTTGTGCAGGTTCCTTTCCACTGTTGTGTAGAGAGATGACTTTGCAAGCCCATGAGAAGGGTTGCAAAAGCCTGCCATGCTGAAGAATGCTTCTACAGCCCACGTGTGAAAGCATAACAGAGCCAAATGCTTTGTTTGCACAAGCCTTCGAGGATATTAAGCACACACTAAATCTGTGCATTCATTCCCATGGTTCCCACAGTGCTGCACAGAAAAACTCCTACAGACTAAATGAGATGCAAAAGCAACTTATTGGCACTCTTCTTGAAAAACTGAAGACGATGGACGAAAAAGGGGGCAACACACAAAACATGTTGTGTGTGTTGTCCCCTTTTTCGTTTGTCATCTCTGGTTTTTCAAAAATGTGTACCATTAACCAGCTCGCCTGCCTACTCACTCTACCTTATTGGCACTGCCTTGAAAATATTCAAGCAACATCTTGTGAAGGCCTCAGTTTGGTATAAGATAGATCAGGGGTGCACAACATACGGCCCGCATCACCGAGCGCCCGCTCTGCTTGGCCAACAGCAGTAAAACCCCCCGACCCACTTTTCTCAGTCTTCAGAAAAGGAACTACGATTTCTCAGTTCAAACTTTCCCTCTCCACTGATCCCGCTGACAACAATAAAACAGCATGTGCTGCTGTCCCTGTCCATGGTGTGGTTCTGTCTCAAGATGTCTGCTCATGGAACACTAAAACTTTTTGCTCCCTCTCAGCACATCCCCTTCCCTCTTTCACCACGGAGGCTATCGACCTCTCCCTTCCTCTTGGGATAGTTAGGGACAGAAAATTGGCTTAGAAGAGCGGGAGGAATCATATGTTTGTCTTTTGAGACCTAGGCTAGGTGGCGCAAGCTACCACCCGTTACGAAGAGTATAGCCATTAACATCCATCCATCTATCCACATGAACAATGTCAGTTCAATGCTAAATGGAAAAATACGGGATGGGTTCCCGGGTTCGTTAAGAAAAGCTTGTTTCTTTTGAAATGCGTGTGCCCTTCCAAAGAAGGGGAAAATCGACCAGGAGGACCAGAAGTTCAATCGCGAGTGGACGTACAAGTACTTCTTTATTGGGAGGCATTGAAGTGCACCTGCCTTGTGTGTCGAGAGTCCCTCGCCGTGCCCAAAGAGTACAACGTCCATCGCCACTACGACCGCAGACCGCCGCCAAAATTTGCAACACAATAGCAATAGGTGCGATCTGTACGGTTTTCATTAGACGTAATTTTGGCCCCCCTATTTTTAGAGCGCAGCTCTTAGGGGCCCGTTTCCGGCTTGAGCGGCGTCGCCGTCGGCGTCGGCGTCGCCGTCGGCGTAACCGCGCGGTGCATCATGGGAAATGTCCCATAATGCACCGCGCGAGCCCCCCACCAAGGTCACGTGACCTCGTGGGGGGTCACGTGACCCCCCGAAGTCACGTGGCCCCCTCCTCGAGGTCACGTGACCCCCGCCGATGTCGCGTGACCCCCCGATGACGTCATCGTCACTGATGACGTCACCGGCATCCACATCGTCATCGTCATAATCACTGATGACGTCACCGGCATCCACATCGTCATCGTCATCATCACTGATGACGTCACCGGCATCCACATCGTCATCGTCATAACTGATGACGTCACCGGCATCCGCATCGTCATCGTCATCATCACTGATGACGTCACCGGCATCCACATCGTCATCGTCATCATCACTGATGACGTCACCGGCATCCACATCGTCATCGTCATCATCACTGATGACGTCACCGGCATCCGCATCGTCATCGTCATCATCACTGATGACGTCACCGGCATCCACATCGTCATCGTCATCATCACTGATGACGTCACCGGCATCCACATCGTCATCGTCATCATCACTGATGACGTCACCGGCATCCACATCGTCGTCATCATCACTGATGACGTCACCGGAATCCGCATTGTCATCGTCATCATCGCTGATGACGTCATCAGTGACGTCACTGATGTCGTCACCGGCATCCGCATCGTCATCGTCATCATCACTGATGACGTCATCAGCGACGTCACTGATGACGTCACCTACATTCGCATCGTCATCGTCATCATCACTGGTGAAGTCATCAGTGACGTCACTAATGACGTCATCGGTACCCGCATCGTCATCGTCACTGATGACGTCATCAGTGACGTCAGTGATGACATCATCGGCGTTGGGGGTCACGTGACCCCCAAGGTAACGTGACCCCCCCCCCCCCTGGTTAGTTTAACCCCCCCCCCCCCCCAGTGCCCTTCCCTCCTCCTCCTCAAGAGCTGCGCTCTAATTCGGCGTTACAGGGAGTTGTAAGCGGCTTTCATTTTTTTAGTTGTCCACCCCTGAAAGAGATCATCTTTAGTTCCTAGGTTCTACATATCGGTTCCTAATTTCAAAATGTTGTCTTATGAGTGTCATGTATTGACCTTAGATGGCTACAGATATACTTGCACTACAAAAAACATTAAAACAGAAGTGTTGGTTGGTACTTAGTTCCATTGCTCACGACAGCAAGCAACAATGGTTTTTACGTCTTTAAAACAGACACGGGCCTACCACATTGGTTAATGCATCCGTCACCTGCAGAAGTCGGTAAAAATATAAGATCGGGCAAATTAAGGGAAGCGGGGAAAGAATTCCGCTAAATTAATTTTTGCAGCAAAACGTTCTATGGTGGTGGACATCCCATGAAACTAGAGAAGTAACGCTCAGTCGCTTTGTCGATCTGTAAAAGCCATGACACTGTACATGGTTTGCTTTTTTTTTTTTTTAAGGTTTATTATAAAACATTAATAAAAAAAAGGCATTTTTGGTCACATTATGATCTGGGGTTCCGTCACCGAGTCGGAGATGGCTTTGTGGGGAAGCACCTTGCCCCCGTTGATGTAGATCTCGTCCTTGACTAAGACGTCCTCTCCTAAAACGGAGGTGTTTTCCATCCGTACCTGCACGAGAATGCAAGAACGATCAGCCACTTGGGACTTTCAGGACCAAACAAATTCGCCTGTCACTGCTGTCTTTTATCGTTTTAGTGCCTGCCAGAAAGAAAAAGATTGGGTAGTGTGGAATGCTGAAGAAGGCACCATGCACACACGGCCTTGGCTTTCACACGTCTGGGCTTCTGCACTATACATATAATACGGTCTGTATGACAGACGTTGCCGGTCCAGCATAGTTCGTTATCAAGGCGTTCGACTGTATGAGATGAAGGAAGTAGGCGGGTTGCATCATTTAACTAAACAGAATGCACAATGAAGCAAGGACTACGCTGCACTAAATCTCTGGCTTAAGCCAGCTGATTCGTAATGACTTAAAAGATCAAAGAAGTGCGAAGTAGACACAGGTAAAGGTGGGTACACATACAACACAGACGGGTTAGTGCAGGTCCACACGATATCTGAACCTTCCTTCGTTCGTGTCTATACTTCGTTTCACCATGCGATGTACCACAACAGAAGCTATGACTCACCGGAGCAAACCCACAGCTTGAAGCATGTAGCTATCTTCCAGTTGGGCAGAGCGAAACGCAAGGTCACATGCACGTGGCACGCATGTAGGTCCTAACTACAGTGCCCGAAATGCATGGTAACGCTCTGATCTGGACATTCGGCGAAAAAGTCGGCGATGATTTCGACGGCCGCGACGGGCCGGCGCTGCACTGGAAACTTGGCGCCGACCGATTGTGGCAGTCGAATTCCTCGCCGACTTTTTCACCAAATGTCTACATTAGAGCCCTTAAACCGTGTGTTTACGTCGTATTCCACCCACGTGTCGAATGCCGGTCGAAGGTGTGTTACAGGAACCATACTCATAACCTTCGTTGCGGTACATGGTGAAAGGAGCATTCCTTGCACTTTTTGATCCTTCCAAGGATGACATAAGACGCCTGCCAAACGACGGCCAAATTAAGAAGGTCGCAGCAACGCTTCTCGGTAGCTCGAACTCCCCGACTCACCCACTGTCCGACGGTGCAGCGCCAGCCGATGATGCACGAGTCGAGCCAAGAGTGGGACCGGACCGTGGCACCATTGAGCAGGGTGCAGCGCTTGATGCAGGCGCCATCCTCAATCACCACGCCGGGGCCAATCACCACGTTGGGGCCGATGCGGCAGTCCTTCCCAATCTTGGCGCTCGGGTCCTGGGTTCACATGAAACACAAAAGTGTCCGAAAATGCGGTCCCTGCACTCATCCGCTCAAATTCTAAGATCTAATCGCAATCGTGTTCTGAGCTTTGTCATTTGCTAAGATCCTTCTATAGTTCGATGTCAATGGCTGTCTCCATGTTTTGCAAGGAAGTGAGCTCGCGGGGTTACCACGGCCAAAATGGTGCGCGAGAGAACTCACAAGGAGCACGTTTCCCACGACGCCGGGTCCCTGTGGGAGCAGCCGGTCCGGCTGCTTGGTCCTCAGGGACTGGAGGTAGAGGCACATCCCCGTCAGGAAGTCCTTGGGCTGGCCCACGTCCATCCAGAAGCCCCTCAGCTCCATGGCGAACAGCTGACCGGCCGAGACCATCGCGGGGAAGACTTCTTTCTCGATCGACGTCGGCTTCACCTAGGAGGGTACGTGTTGTGAGGGCCTCGGAGCGCGACTCTACTTCGTTTTTGCGGTCCTCCTCGGTATCGTCGAGGAAGACCGTGCAGCGAATGTTACGGCTGAATTCCGTCTAGGTGCCTATTGGATCGGCGAGCAAAGTTTGACCAGCGCCAAGTTGCAGAAACGTGTTAACTCCAGCGAGCGGCAAGCGGTGCAATCATTAGAAGAGTAAAAAATGTAGTGTTGGTAGCTACAGTGTCAAAGACATTGCTACTTTTCGTTTGCTTTTATTTTTTCGAGCATTGTTTCCCACCAACAGTGCACTATGCCTTTAGACACACCCATTACAGGAAATAAAACAGGACCGCTTGTGCCACGGCATAAGTTGTGACTCTGCCAATGTGGGAACAATACTGTCCGTCGAAGCCTAAGGTTTTGTTTCAGTTCAGGTTGCATCTAAAAAAAATCTGCAAGAGACATATTTTACTTTTTGGGAAACAAATTTCTTTCATTAGTGAGTGCTTTCCAATGTGAAATTGCACATAATCCCAGAATGTTTGGAATCCAGCCGAGTTTTAAAGTTTGGGAGCCGAGCTTAAAGATCAAAATAAGGAAGAAGAAAAACTAGCACAACATTTCTGTCTCCAAGCAGTTGCCTGGACAGAGTTGGACTTAAAAGTCCCATCCCCTCTCTCCCAGATCTTTAAGAAATATACCAGTTTCTTTCAGTGGTTTCTGCTAGCTGTATATTATGAGAAAACATTTGTTGAGAAATCGTAAGCCCAGCTGGTCAATCGAATCTCATGCACAGTGTGACGCTCACCTCGATGCGATCAAGGATCGCCGGCGTGAAGATGTAGAGGCCCGCATTGATCTTGTTGGAGACAAACTCCTGGGGCTTCTCAACAAACCTCTCGATGCGGCCCTGCTCATCGTAAACGACGACGCCGTACTTGGAAGGCTCCTCCACCCTCGTCACCTCGAATGGAGAGAAGACACAGGGGTGCTCTCGAGTAATTTATTAACAATATCAAAAACTAGAGAAAAACTGTAGTAATGTTGAAATCTAGGCAAGTTTGGGTTCAATCCCCACCCCTGCCCGTTTCGATATGGATGAGCATCGCATCGGCGTGCTCATCCATTGTACTGCACTCGCTAAATTGCTCATCTACAGCGAGTGACTCGTCGCAACTTTGAAAATGGCTGACCAACTACACGCTGTATAAATATCCACACAACCCCAATTATTATTATCTGGGCAAGTTGGGTATGCATTAAGAAACTAAAAACAGTGCTCTTTCTCTGTGGTCCTTCTCGTGCTCTGTCCGTCTTTGTGCTGTTTTTTTATTTATTATCTATTTATCAATACTGTCAACCTTCTCTTGAAGGCTATCACAGGAGAGATTGATAGATAGTAAGCCAATGGGACCAAATTTGTGCCAAACAAAATAACCTTCAAAATTTCACAATGTTATCACTTCTGAAAAGCCCATGAACACAACAAAAGGAAGGCATATTACTATTTCAGTTTAAATCTAAACTGATAAGCACCTGGTACATCACTATCTTTTAATAATCGTTTAGCTTCATAACTACAGGGATCTTGGTTTGGAGCCCCGAACCACCTTGAATGAACATGTCCCTTCTCCTAGTTCTGTCCTTCTATATTCTTGGAAGATTTTATTGCAAAGGAAAAAGAAATGAAGGAGCCTGGTAATCACAGATTTATGTCTATCAGAAGCACCTGCCAAAGCTGCAAGCAGGTTTGTGACTGCAACCTCTGATGCGGTGCTGGCTTACCAGGTAAATACAGTTTAAAAATGAAAAGCACAATGAAAACAAAAAGGGTTATGCGGCCAACAGTCAGTTGATTGAGAATGCAGCGCACATTGGCTTCCACCTCCTGAAAGACCCCAACTTAAAATATGCGCAGAACAAGAGAAAGATTATTTTCTCCCCAACCTTCAGCATTTGCCTATATCAAAGGTTCTCAAACTAGGCACTTGGGAAACCCTGCATTTCCTAGAGTGCCCTTAGGGCTTTATCGAGCACCCAAGTTCTCTCGGTCGTCTGTGCATGCACAGCTATGAGCCATTCACGGCGATGGAAGCGACAGTTGACCTCTTGTAGCGGGCAAAATGTTGGTTTGGAGCAGATGCCAACATCTGTTAGCACATCACTTGAGAATGAAAAAGTGATTGCATCTCAATGAGTTCCTTTATAATAGTGATTGAGGGTTCCTCTCCGATACGCGAGCACATTACTTATTACTGTTTGTGATAAGAACAGATAGGGAATAAAAGGAACAGTCTTCTCAAATAAGGCTCTAGTCAAAGTAGGTTTCATTTACAATGGGTATTAAAAAGTGGTTGAAAAGTGAATCATAGCGCAACACTTCATTGGGCTAAATCCTCCCTCCCCTCTCCATTTTACAACCCGGTAGTTTGTTTAGCCCGTAAATATAATTTCCGTCAGATGCCAGCAAGAACCAGCATATCCGCTAACATGTCTACCAATAAAATTGTGTCCCGTAAGTTTAATGAACCTACTAAACTCAAAAGTCTAATATTATTAACAGCAAAACAACCACCCAAAAATATTATAAAGGCCTACACTCGCGCTTTAAAGGTGACACTGCTCTTTAGCCGCATAGGAACAAGAGTTACATCAAAGTTCACTGCTCTTTCGAACAACAGCTGCACAAAAACTACCGTGACTATTTATTAAAATATTTATAGATCCTTGTTTTCTTCTCTCTTACTCTGCTCTTTTCTTTTCCTAAATTAAAGATTAACTCACAATTAGAACAAAGCGTAATTTGCATGACTATTGCGCTAAGTCAGGTGCTCCCCCAGGTCAGTCACTGCTCCTAGGACTCCGGTGAAAAGCGGTGAAGTTCGACGCGCGCACGCTGGTGAGGCTGTGAAGGTTGATGCAATCGGTGCAAGTGCCACGGTACTCTGCAGCCAAGATGATCGAGTGATCGTATCAGGAGTACAAGACCCTGGTTCTGTTTTATCACAGTAGTTGTAATCAGCGATCCTACTATTTTACAAGGTTTTCTCAGGAACCTTAGTTCCTGACATTGACTGGAAATTTACGTGATGTCAGCGATCAACCAACCAGTGCATCAACCGGCCAGAGTGGTTGATGCCCAGCATCAATGGCTCTGGCCGGTTGTTTTGCAGCACGAAAGCGCAACATCATGGCATTCGTCATCTCCCTGTATGTGTTCTTTCATCGGTTGAACCAATCAAGTGCAGGGAATGTTCCAGGACTTGTGCTTTCAGTATGTGTGTTTGTGGTTGTATGTGTTCAAGCCTTCGACTGTGCTCTGACCTACGACAAAACAAACTATACGGTGGGCAGAGATGCTGTGAAATTCGTATCTGTACACTTTTCCTTTCCTTCCCCTTCTCCGAATATTAAAGTTGACCAATAATATAACGTTAATTTTTTTTGCTTTAAGCCCACTCAACGCAGGTGTGGCACGATTCTTAGCAAAAATGGCATTTCGGCGCAAGATGTAACAGACTTTCGTTCATGGCACAATTTAAAGCAAATGGCGCAGCACTTCTATCACTGCATTCACTTTCTAGTGCATTCATTACGGCCATCAAAGTTCATAGGTGTTGTTACTGCTTTATTGAAATAATGCTAACTGGGAGGAAGTACCCATTCCTTGGCTGCCATCCAAAGCAGACGAGCCGACTGATGAGATTCAATATTGTATTTCTAGTCTTTCAAAATTCTTACAGTCTTTAACAAGTCTGCAGGGTGGTGCAAATATTCAAATTTTCGGAATGTGGTTCCAAACAATCAATATTTGCTCTGGGATGAACTGCGATAGTCGTATATTTCGAAGTATTGATTGCGGCGGGTTATTCCCAGGCGGGCGCGCTTCTTACTGAGCACTGCAGAGAAGCAACATCTGCAAAAGTCAAACCACGCATGTTGCTTCTCTGCAGTGCACCGGCGCTCGGTAACAAGCGTGCAAAACGGGGTTAACTCGCCGCAACCAACATTTCGAAAAGTACTAAAATACTGCAGTCGTTTGCTCAGGAGGAGAGCGCACTTTCAAAGTGGGATGGTGCATGCACGCCTCTAGTGAATTTAAAGATATACAAACTTTGAGAATGCTGACATCTACACTACAGTAAAATTTTACAAATTAAACTGCGGCTATCAGGTGAGCATATATGTTAGGCAGAGACGTCCGACAGCCTGCGTTCATCATTCATGATAGTCTTTTCTTTCTTTTCTTAAATTCAAGATTCAAGAAAAGATATTTGTATACAGCAAGGAGATTTATTAGCCCCCTCAATTAGGAATAGAAGGATACCTCTATAGATGTAATTTTATGTAAAATGCATCTTTTACCTGCCAACCTTGAAGGCAATGGACTTTCTGAGGCTTAAGTTCATTAATACATTGAAATTAAAATTAGCTGATAAATAAATAAAAATAAGCATTGGAACGACCTTTATGAGTTCAGCTGGGTTTTCATTGAATACGAGTAAAAAGCCTGGAAAACCTATATTAAATGCTCGCTTTGAAAATATTTATAAATAAACTTAACATCCACAAATTGCACATGCCTACAAGTCTAATAGTAGAGAGTGTTCTTCAGTCACTCCGCACTAACCCAGCCTGTGGTTTCCTCGCATCTGATGGCACCCCAGCATGGGAGCCGAAGACATTGAGCATTTGGAAAAAGTGGGACATCCAAACGGGACCTTCTGTTTTTTTATGTATGGACCACAAGACAGAACTTTCAGTTGTGCATTTTCCCCTCGAAACTACGACGACATCGCAAACGGCAAAACCCCTTAGGCTTGCAAGTGCCAGAAGTGTCCGAGAATGGCGTCTTACCACGACGGTGCCTTCCTTGCCGTGGTGCTTGTGGAAGCTGACCATGTCCTTGAGCGGGAAGTCGCAGATGACGTCGCTGTTGAGGACGAAGAAGGGCTCACTGTCTGCAGACAGCAGCTCCTTGGCCAGAGCCAGTGGACCCGCCGTGCCCAACGGTTCATCCTCTTGAGACAGCGTGATCTTCACTCCGAGCTGAAACCCGTCGAGCCACACTGACGACCAACTCTTGCCGGACACGACAGCACGACGGAGACATTTGCAGTGCAAAATCTAAAGGCTATATTACAGAAAGAGTTGAAGACTTTTCACACACGTGCATTCACTTACAACTAAGTTCTTGTGATTTCTTAGAACGAGAAAACAATGTAGCGCAGAAGGTTGATGCCGAGTACGTATAGACCTTTTCATCCTCCCTCGCATGCGCGCTGCCATCTTGGAATCACGTGACGCGGCAGCCATTAGGTTGCTTCAACTTGTTGCTCCGCTCTCCTCTCCGCGCTTTGGCGGATGCGTTGTATTCGTGTTTTTCGCCGCGTTTCACCGCGCTTTCTTGCCTTGCTTCGGAAACTGTAGTCCGATACGTCTACTCGACGAAGTCACTAGGGTTCAAAGATTCTTATGACAACTGAGGTTTGTTTACTAATAGTGGTGGAACATTCTCAGTAAGAAGCGCGTATATTTATATCGCGCATTTAGGACTGGGAGGCGTCAAGAATAGTCAGCGCAAGGTGACTGTCTGTATTTCCTCAAAGTATCGTTCTTTGTATTACTAATACATCCAAAACTGTTTATGTTGAATATGTGAGGAAACTCGCGGAACAGATAGACAACGAACGTTTAACTGAGCCTAGGAATAATTCACACCTATCTGTGTATGAGGTTATCAATCTTTTTTTTTTTTTCTGCGACATAACATCCGGTTGGTCGGTTGACTTATGAAGTTTAGGAAATTGTGTACCGTGCTCGTTCTCATTTCGACAGTCATTTAGGTGATTTATTGATTATCTTTAAATAACCAGTTCAATCCATTTAATTTATATTATCGCAAAGGTTGGGACTTCATTAACTTTGTGATAAAGGTTGGGACGTGTACGTTGTTTTAACTTTTACTGGTACCTGGAGTCCGCAATATTTGACTTTGAAAAAACGCCGTCTGCATAACGATCGCCTGAGTCTAGGATTGTCGATGGCGAATAGAGGTTTACTTTTGGCGGCTGGCGACGCCGAAATTTACAAAGCGAATCTGTTCAAACAAATAAATATTTGTTCACAGAGGTCCGTGAAGTGGTGCCTAGTGCTAGGATTCATACAAACTTTCCGAGGTAGTTCTCCTCCTGCGCCCTTTAATTTTACTTGGCGAATTTTGCGGAAGACAATTGACAGATTTAATTTGACGGGCCTGTCACTTATATCACATTTTGAGTAAGCAAATGTTCATATCGAAATAATTTATTTCCTATGGCCAATATCGCGAAAGTCTGCTTATGAGTACTTTAGCAGGGTTTATAATTTAAGAAATTTTCTACTCAGCCTGTCAAAATAGGCTCGAATACTGAATTAAAAAATAAATAAAATAAAAGAGGCCGAGACTATACTACTTGTTTATATAAATTATCTGCGTCATTACACGATACTCTTTTAATCTGTGAAGTTCACTAAAGGTTGGGTGCCCACGAAAACCAAACAGTGAGTAGTAAACTCGCGAGTTCATTTGTTCTGCCTGATTAAGGACATTACTAATCAAGCTATCGATATGCCTCTTTGCATTTACGTGTTAGTCTCTTTATTATTTTATTTTTCTGGAAACTAATGTCATCGGGTACGGCCATAGACAATGTTAATCTTCCATGTACATCAGTCAGGCGCTTCGCAACCGACGTTACTCAGATACCGCAATAAGATACATCAAAAAAGTTTGTAAAAAAAAAAAAAACGCAATTTAGGGCCAAGAACACTTCGTAGTCCTCAAAGTGGCTCAATGCCACTGTTTCATTGATTGTGCGCTACAAGCAAGATAATTGTATCACAAAATTAAGCAAAAACCACGTAAAACAAACATAGCCGCGTGCACCTTGAAACCGAAACCAACTAAATTGAAGCAACCTAATGGCGACGAGTGCGTCAGCGCCCTCTATCCGCCAGAGAAGCAACTACAAAAATTAAAAGGTCTATAGCGTAGTTGCAAACTCATTAAACATCCACGATAGACGCAAGTTACTCCATGTGCTTTCTTACTTTTCTGTCGTGAGATGAAGCATGACGCTTGCAGGAAGAAAACGGTGCTTTTTACACTTCCATTATACTCCGTCTCACCCTACAAGAGACTATGAGCGACAGGTCCAATCACAGACAGTCAGAAAGCATGTGGTATATCGCTTAGATGAGTATTAGCATACTGCTTTGATAGTACACCACATGCTTTTTAAGTGGCTCATGATTGGAGCCGGCAGCCCGTAGCTTGGGCTGCAGTTCTTCGCGATGAGACTAAGTATATTTCCTTGCACTTTGGAACTCTTAATAAGTGGTCTATGTGGATATACAATCTTTATATGTAAGCACTATGGATGGTGTGGATGGAAGTGTATAGAAAGTGTTTTTGTTGCCCAAATAATAGTGCAAATACAGCACTCTGCAGAGCTGAGCTGTGCACAACTCTTAAAATGAGGTACCAATTAGGACGATTTTCAACTGCCGCATACTATTTCCTAGCGCAACTGATCTTAAAACAAAATTACATATGCTGCTGGGTCAACAGGAGAGAGATTGACACATCACGAACTAGACTTTAAATCAGATGGTCTTTATACTCAATTTTCATGAATGAAAGTTTCAGAAAGAAAGCGAAAATAACAAAATACCAACTTGTATGCAGCCACTGTAGTAATGCAAAGGTTTGTGAGCACAAGTCTCAATCTGAATGTCTGTTACTAAGAAACGAATTGACTAGTTTATGCTACTGTGTTCATTTGAATAGATCAAATCAATATTTCTCCAAACTACTCCTTTAAAAACTGCAACTTGAGTGTCACCGAACAGCAATAAATAAACAAGTGTGTACAGGAAGTTTGCTGCACTGCTCTCCAGCTGCACAAAATCTGTATTATAGTGAAACAATTATATTTTGGTTACAAATAAATAAAAAAATGTTGAACAGTATAGAAACCACCACCACCAAAGTTAAACTGTTAAACATAGTGAAATATCACAAAATATAACAAATACAACTGCACAATCCCAAGATTTTATCAACAGGTAGCATGGGAAGAAACAAGAGACAGCAGAACATGCGAAGAGGGTTGTAACTTCTTACATCACATGAAATGCCTCAAAACAAGGCCTTTTTGTGATGAAGTTTCACATGGCGACAAGTCAGTGTTGCACATACCACTGTTATTCATGTCCAGCCTATTTTATTTTTTACACCGCATAAAATGCTCCAAAATAAAGAATATTGTGAAGCAGTTTTAGCATACCAGTAAGTATAAGTGCTGCACAAACTTGCACTATTCACGTCCAGCACACTGTAGTGCAGACTCGTTCAGGAATTAAGCTGTCTAACGATTCTTGAGGGCCGTTTAGCCTGTACTCAGAATATCCCTGCCCCTGAAGTTGAAGCCCAATCTTCAAAATACCGGAGTATTCTTCAACTATCAAGTACCTTTTCTGCTTCCACCTTGACCTCTTTCTCCAGAAGCTCAGCACGGTAACTCACGGCCAAAATGACGTGTGTGACACCAGCCTGCAAGTTTGTAAGCGCTTTCATTAGTAGTCAAACCAGACGGAGGGACCATAAAATAACCACCAAGTTTAAGAGCTGCACCGTGATACCCCGAGAGGTAACCCACCCCTATTTTTGGCACGATTTGATTTTTTTTTTTTCAAAAACACAGAAAGATAGCCTACTTCTAATGATTTCAGGGCCCTGGCCAATGGTGACCTCGACAGAAATGGTGTTACTCAGCCACGGCGGGAGATAAGTGAACACTGCCGACTGGGAAAGGCATTTGTTTTTGGTTCATCGCCCCTCCACGTGATTAGAAGTTTTGCAGGCCACAAAATCTGAAACTAGCATTTTTTAACTTGTTTTGGATCGCGCACCGAAAGTTAGCCCACTCCTTATTTTCGCCTGATTTGCTTTCGATTTTAGGTGGGCTATCTCTCGGCATATTACGGTATGTGTGGAACCACAATAACAGGACTGAACCATTTTTTTTGCCCGATACACTATATGATCATATATAGAAGATCATCAATGACATATTACGTATGCCATCAGCAACTCGCTGTTCAATTTTTAACATTTCCCACCAGTAAACATTTATTATGGCTGCCCACCCTTGTAGTGTGTTTGGTTTAGGACAGGTGGCAGCTGCTAACATCCGTATGCTTCACTGAGAGTTAATGTCTGTTTAGCACAGTTTGTAGAGTGCTCCAGTGATATTTGTGTGGTAAAACACTAGTTGCATCGAGTGTGCAAGTTGTGCCCCCTTTGGGTTTAAGTATCCATTCATCCTGCCATCAGTTATGCCATTTGCAAACAGAAACTCAGTGTCCATAACTGACACGAGTCAGAGTCTCACTTCAAACGGTGTTCTGGGACAGTCGAAAAAATCCCTTCGTGGCCCCTTCAAACAAGGAGGATAGAAAAGTAGGAGAGAGCATGACGTCGGCCGTGTAGCCTCCACAAGCCATGCTCCCTTGACGCCTCGCCTCTTTCTCATTTTCCTCTTTACTCTCCTCACTTACCATGCCAACGTGACCACATCACGTGACCGTAGCTAGCCTTCGTCTTGCTATAGGGTACTAGAATACACCACAGTCTAGCCTCCGATCTGATAAAACCTACCGGACGGAGCGCACGCAAGCCTGCAAGGAGTCCTTCTACAATCAACCATCCATCTCACACGTGACATGTCACGCGCACCAATCGCCAGAGAGATCTGCGGTCACGCTGGGCACAAAATTGTTTAAACTTTTTATAACTAGGCTTCACTAATATTGCAACGTGTCCCCTCCTAGTACTTATAACCTCCTTGCCTTCAAACGTACTGTTCCACTGACGAGATAAGGGACACCCGTACCTCTACGAGGGCTTCGATCTGATGCATCATCATCGGCTTGTTGCAGAACTCAACCAACGGCTTGGGACGGCTCAGCGTGAGCGGTCTCAGCCGCGTCCCGTAGCCTCCAACCAAAATAAGGGCCTTCATCTTTATTTATGGTTTTGTCTGAAAGAAAAAATTAAACACCAAATATTTAGATTTTGTTCAAAAACTGCGTTCAAGGGTCAAGATGTTTATTAGCAAAACTTCCACACAGCCGAGTGCCTGAGGCAGCCAAAAGGCAGAAGCCCGCACAACCAAGTGCCGGATGCGTCTTCGGCTATGTGTTAGCAGTTGAAATGATGAAGATGAATATACAAATGAAAAAATATCCAATGTTGATTGAAACATACATAACCATCTAGGAAAATTCGATGCAATACTAATGCACCTTGGTTTAAAGGGATGCTGAACTGAAATTTGGATTTCATGAAATAAGGTAGCGGGAGTGTTCAACGGGGTGCCACAAACCCCAAAATACCACTCATAAAGCGATACCTCGAACAGATAGCCGTATTTTCGTAAAATAAGGATGCAATCGAGTGAGAATCGCAACGTCGTGTTTCCTGCAGAATAGTTCGGGAGGAGAGGAAACGGCCTTGCTTCGCGTCCTCGCGGAGTCAAAGCGAGAAGAGGAGGAAATGAGTATCACGACGTCACGGGCCTTTCTGGCTTTGTTCAAGCGCGCTCTTCTCTCACAAAAATACGACCATCCGTTGAGATGTCGCTTTATGATTGACGCTTTCGGGTTTGTAGCGTCCCCCCCCCCCCCCCCCCGCCTAGCGCTTCCGCATTGTTTTCCAAAATCAAAAATTTTGATTCAGCATCCCTTTAATGTTAACCTCAGGCGGCTGCGAAACAGGACGATAAGGCTGTTTCACGCTGACAAGCGAATGCCCTCTGAGGCACGCTGGTCAACGTACCATAACGCAACTAATGAGTACACAGCGATTATTAGCAAAACTAAGTCACATTTTTTTAATTATACACTGCCTACCATGTTAGCGAATAATCCTGAACAATTCTGGAATATCGTTAATCCTAACATTCAGTCTAGCATTGTTCTGCATTCTTTTGATGGCAAAGATATACCGGTTTTCGAAAGTGCTACTGTATTAAACGATGCTCTTAGTATGTCCTTCACGGCCTCCAATGTTAATCGATTTCCAGCATTGCCCGCCCATACCTTTTTGCCAATAAACCCTGTAACCATAGACGCAATAGGTGGGGCTCGCATTATTAATAATACAAAACTTTCATCTGATGCCGGTATCGATGAAATTAACACTAAGTTCTTAAAAATTTTTAACATGTATTGCTCCATAATTATCTCAAATATTTATATGCAATCTCTTAACCAGGGTACAGTTCCAAGGGATTGGGTTGTTGGGAAGGTGGATCCTACACATAAATCTGGCGATTCATGTGTAGGGACCAATTTCATCAACAAGTGTGCCATGTAAAATTCTTTAACACATCATGTACTTGCAGGTGATTAACTTTCTTGAATCTAATGACTTTTTCACAAACTCGCAGTATGGCTTCAGGGAACATTGTTTGTGCGAGACGCAACTAACATCATTCACGTATGATCTCCATCACTATCTCAATGATCATTACGAAGATGATTGCATTTTTTTAGATTTATCCAAAGCCTTTGATGAAGTTTCACACAAAGTTCTACTTAATAAATTACAATCACTTAACATAGATTTGTGCATACTAAACTGGATACGTGCATTTTTAACTAACCGTCTGCCATTTGTTACTGCTAATAATACCAATTCTAGCTCTGTTCCAGTTAACTCAGGTGTCCCACACAGCTCCGCACTTGGCCCGCTGCTCTTATCTCTATTAACGACTTGGTACTAAACATCTCCTCTTCTATCCACCTGTTTGCTGACGATTGCGTAATCTATCGAAAAGATTACTGACATATCCGACACTATCCTTTTATGATCTGCCCTTAATCTGATATCGCTAAGGTGTAACCAGTAACGAATAGAACACTGACAAATGCAAGTCAATGAGAGTGTCGCGTTCTCAATATGTGTGTCATACCTACCATCTTAACAGTAAACTTCTCGCTGCATTGTCTGCTTATAAATATCTCGGAGTTCACATAATGTCAAACCTTTCTCGGAAGATTCATGTTGAATACATGCTAACAGTGCTAACCGCATGTTAGGGTACTTGGAAAAGAAATTTCTTCCTCGCTCCGTCTTCATTGAAACTAACCATGTACAAAACTCTAATTCGTCCAAAATTGGAATACCCTGCAGCCGTATAAGACCCTGCTCACTCGTCACTAATTACCATACTTGAATCCATTCAAAGCCACTCAGCCAGTTTCATTCTGTCAAACTATCACCACACCGCCAGCGTTACGACCATGAAACACACGTTAGGTTTACCATCACTTATTCATCGCCGTAAAATATTTCGTTTGTGTCCTTTTCATAAAATATTCCACCAAAATGCTGTCCTTCGTCAAAAACTAATTAACCCACCATTCTACATCTCCGACCGCATTGATCATAGTCATAAGGTCGGCCTTTCAAATTTCAAAACATTGTTATTTCAATATTCTTTCATGCCTCAACCGTCGTTGGATTGGAACCACCTTCCCGCCTCGATCGCCAACATCAATGATATTGTCCTGTTTAAGGGCGTTTTTACTAATATGTGCACATAGTAAATATTTTTATAGCTCACTCCCCTCTTCAATGTATTTACCTTAAGGGTATTTCAAATAAATAAATAAATAAGTTGCTTTCACTGGCGTCACATTAGCTGCCATTGTGGTGGTCTTGCTGCTGAGACCTTCTGCAGCGCACATTTCACATCAGCGAATATGCTTTTCTCGGCACAAACAAGTAAGAAGGATCACAAGCATGGTGTGACGACAGTGAATGTAGCCGTGTTGCACCCATTTCGGAGTTTATGGCTACACATCTTTCGGTATGAAAACCTGACCTCCTTCCACGAAACTAACGATTGTGACCTTTCAACCGAGAGGCTCGCGTCGGCGTTTGTGGCGTGCGCGATGTATTCACTAGCAAAACCTCTCCAAACGACGAATTCTAAAGCTACTGATGACAATCGAAACAAGACAACGTCGTCATTTCAGTATCATATTGTTATCATTCTCATGTTAACGCCACATGGAGAGCAGTCCACTACACCCTGGGACAGCTCTTGAACCGAAAGTTAAACTTTGTTGGCCTCCAACAACTTGCTGACAGATTGGTGTGTTGCAGAGTTGCTTTTACGAACGAGGAATGCTATACGCACGACGTCGTGCACTGCGACCGGAAATGGCTATACGCACGATGCAAAACTTTTTGCCTCTCGCCTGGTTTAGGGGGAGAGAGAGGGGACGGGGTCTTGGGTAAACATGTTTCAGTGAATCGTGCACTAGATCTTAATTACTTCCAAAATTAATTACGTAAAAAAAAAGTATACAAAAGAGATTGTTGCAACGAACTGCCAAAGCTGTGGCATAGCCCTGTGGTCACGCGGCGTAATTACATAAAAAAAGAAATGTATATAAAAAAGATTGTTGCAACGGACTGCCAAAGCTCTGTGGTCACGCGGCTTCTTCCCACACAGCGAACCCAGGGTGGAATAAAACAAAAACGGAGGGTCTTAAATTTTTTATGTTACTGACAACATACTTTTTAGTAGTACAACAATCGCTGTAAAAAAAATTAGTATGTTGTCGACAAAACGTTGCTTAGGAACTCAACCAGCTCGATCTGTAAAGGCTGGTTCACAGATTTGCGCTTGCTTACAACCCAGTTTTTGTGAGCTCTTACGACGAAAGAACACAGTGGCACGGTGGAGCCATCTATGAGGTGACCATGGAACTGCTTTCTACTAGAGCTAAAGTTTTTCAGTATTTGTGAGATTAAATGTACATACTATCTTTGAGAAATGGTCGTTTCTAACATTGTCAAGTTTTTCGAGGAAAGAAAGAATAAAGCGCGAATAAAATAGGAAATATACGGAAATGCCAAGTGTTCCATGCCTACCTGATAGATGGCGCAGTTACTTTAGATGGCGCCAGTCAGCCGTAAGAGATCCCAGAAAGTTTTAAGGCACTTAGTCGTGAGCAATCGCAAGTGTATAAGCCAGCTTTTAGTCTTAATGTTGTCCGAATGACAATATTTGAAAATGGTTTCAATATATTCATGCGTCCGGCTCTTCTGCACCTCTTATCTGCTGGCGGCAACACGCTCAAGTAAACACCTCCGGCATTCAACCACAGATGGAGTTGAGCTAAGCGTGATCTGACGCACAAGGCGCTCGATTATGCTTACTATTGAAGTTGTACACAAGGTGGGATTTTTGGGGGCTCAGGTTACCTTTTGTGGTGCTCAGCTCAGCATTTTAGTCGGTGCCACGAATGCAGTGGCCGTGTGTAGATGCAGCGCCGAAGTCTCGAAAGCGACACATCCACAGCCGGCAGCGGATGAGGCCGATGACGCCATCATGTTCATGTCGATGCGACCGTGAAACCGGCCAGAGAGGCTATCGGCCACGTCAGGCTTGCAAAACGTGCAAAATTCCTAAAATCTTGGCGATGTAGTGATGCTTCGGCGGCTTGCTCAATAAAAATAGTTACTATTTAAAACTATTCTATTTTACACAAAATTTGATGTTTAAAGGCTAAAGTCACTTTTTTTCAATCGAAACTAGTCAAACTGAAACCGAAACTCCACAGAGGTCACCGCTAAAAACCTGGAAATCGAAGTAAAAGTTACGAGTTCGGCTTTTCTACTGGGTAGTTAGGTTTCGTAGCAATTGTATAAGTTTCCAACTTTATTAAAACACAAAAAAGGTACTAATCTTTGAGACACCTAAAAAAAGCGTACACCCTAACTTCAAAGTGCATTGGATTATATATTTTACTTTCAGTACATGTTGTGGAGGCTTTGCCTCACCTCTACTTCTTTTACTGTTTGCAGGCTAAAATGTTTTATTACCTTTCGCCGCGCATACCGGATACCTGCCAGGTGGCCGGAGACGAGTCAAAAAAAATAAAAGTGTATTTTAGAGCGGAAATGCTTTTATTGCTGCTTTTCCGCAGTTTAAAGCGCGTGAGTGAGTGAGTAGTAGTAACAAATTTATTCCGAAAAAGGGTGGCACTTGGCCTGTTTGGGAAGGGGCTAAAGGGGTGTTACGAGTTAGGTGCGGCGCACTATGGAGGCTTCACAAGCGAAGCTCCACAGTGCGAGCAAGGTCGTTTTTTGGTCCTGTACCGGCCCACCCCTCGTAGGAGGTCACACCTGGTGGTCGGTGCTTCTCTCTGACGTCTTTTAGTCCGTCACATTCCCAGATGAGATGTCTGATGGTCGGTGCTTGATCTGCGGAGCAGCTGGTGCAACGTGTGATTGGAGGTGGTGGGGGATCGCCTTCTTGATTGCACAGTTGGTTGTACCGCCACCTTGCCACCATGTCTTCTGTGATAGCGAAGCCCGTTCGCGCTTTAACAACAAGCACTTGGGCCCCCCGAGGTAGACCTTTAGGCAATGGATTCTCGAGGGGTGGTACATGATCTTTCAACCGGTTTTTCCGAATTTGCTTCTGTCGTCGTCGTTCTTCCTCCGGGCTGTGGTCAAGCGATGGACGGTAGATCGGCACTCCCTGCGAGCGGCGAGAAGTGAAAGCCTCGCTCGCCAGGTCGTGCGCGGCCTCGTTGTCCGCTTGACCGGAGTGCCCAGGCACCCACTGGATTTTCACTGCGACGTCTTTTTGTGCTTTTATTATGTTGCAGCCGCTTTTTATGGCGTACTCCGTGGTTCCGACTCTGCCCAGCTGAAAATTCCCATTAAATCCCATTGGAATTCCAACTGGTTTTAACTGGAACCAATTGGTTTTAGTGGGTTCCAGCTGGAACCACACTGGCCAATGGGTCTCACCAATTGGAATTATTTTTCCAGTTGGAACCTGAATGGGTTCCCAATGGTTCCCATTGGTTCCCGTTGGTTCCCATTGGCAGTGACCAATTGGTTGTCCAAAAACCCAACTGGTACCAATAAGTCACCAATTGGTACCAATAAGAAAATTCCAATTGGAACTTAATGGGAATTTTGAACTGGGTGGGAGGACCGATTAAGGCGTGGATAGCTGTGGAACTGTCAGTGCAGATCGTGACCGTCTTGGTTTGCTCGTTCACAATTCGGTGGTCTGTGAGAATCCAATTTACACCGACTTGAAGCGCCCGAAGCTCCATTTCGGTGGTGGAGGGTGTCTCGTTTAGGTGGCAATTTTGTAGGCGATGATAGCCGTCTTCGGTTCTCGCCACAACGGCAGCGATCTGAGTGTTCGGATTCCAGGATGCGTCCGTAAAAAGCCGCATCTCCGTGGGGTCCGTTGAGGGCTCGTTGAGTGCGCGGGCGATAGTGGCGCGCTGCGGCCCATAGCGTTGGGCGTTGGTCTTCCGGCTGAGTGGTCTGCCGTTCGTGACGGGGAAGTCCATCCACGGCGGCACGTGCGGTGGAACCTCGTCTAAAATGGCAGCCATGGTGGGGTCGTCTGAGAGAAGGAGGCGCTGCCCCTGAAGAGTGAGGAGACGGCGGTCCTGGGTTCCCTCGCGGCAATCTTGTATAATGAACCGTAGGGGTGGAAGTCTTCCGTAGCGATATAGTTCTTCCACTCGGGTGTGGCGAGGCAAGCCGGTGATCACCCGAAGGGCGGCTCGGTAGAGGGTCTCCAGTTTTTCGACTTGGGTCTTTGTCAGTTGGGAGCACACAGCTCCGTACGTGGCCCGAGACACAAGGACTGCGTACACGAGGGTGCGCGCGATTTCGGAGGTGGCGCCTCCAAATTTAGTTGAAATTCGTTTAATGATGTGCACTATCTTTTTCCAAGTGGGCGTCAATTGCTTTAACCATTCGGCTGCACCACCACGCTCGGAGATGGGTATACCAAGGATGCGTACCCAGCCTGTGTCTGATCGCTTCAGGGACGCGCCTCCAATGGTGAGAGCAACCTTGGCTTGTTCCGCCCTAGAGCCTCCCAGGAGAATGTATTGCGTCTTCTGCACAGATATCTCCATTCCTGTATCTTTCAAGTAGTCGTGCAGCGCCGCCAGCGCCGCCTGGAGTGCTGCGACTGCCGATTCGGTGTCCTCGTGATCGTCTGCTTCTGTCCAAATGGTAATGTCGTCGGCGTACAGCGTGAACCGTACGCCATGGATGAGTTCAAGCTTGCGGGCAACTCCGGTCATGACTACGTTGAAAAGGAGTGGGGACAGGATGGCCCCCTGTGGCACTCCAACGCAACTTGAGAACTGCTTCGGTTCATCGCGCCCGGAGCGGACTTCGAAGGTTCGGTCAATTGCAGAGGAAGCTCTTAATAATATTCAGCATCCGCTTGCCCGGGTACGCCTCCTTTAGGTCTCGTATGACTGCTTCGTGGGTGACCGAGTCGAAAGCTTTCTTTAGATCCACCGCAACAAGGATGCTAGGCACGGTCCGCCTGCGTCCCCGTTTGGTACTAAGGAGTCTTCTCAGAAGGTAGATGCTGTCTTGTGTGCTCAGGTTCGGACGGAAGCCAGTCTGGTGAGGATGGAAGAAGAAGGAAACCTCCTCTAAGTGATGGTTCAGACGGTTGAGGCATAGCCGCTCAAGTAGCTTACAGATCGTCGATGTGAGTGACACCGGACGAAGGTTTGGAACCTCGTTGGAGCGTTTACCGGCTTTAGGTATGGGGGCCACGACGGCGTGCTTCATCCAAGGCGGAAGTTGGCCGCTCACCCAGATCTCGTTGACGGTATCCAAAAGGGTGTCTTTCTCCTGTGCGGGGAGGTTCCGGAGCATGGTCCAGGTGATAAACGTATTTGTTAAAGGAATGGGATACATCACGATTTCTTGATAAAGTCATCCAATCGTGACGGGGGAAGGGGATTATGGGAAGGGTAGGGGGAGGAGGCTAAATGGTAACAGGCGATTCCCGATGAGAGGGCGAAACTAATCAGGGAATCGAGAATGTGTTTGCGGTGCGGGTGTTCGAGCCTGGGGCGGGTCCAGTCCTCGTACGTAGCTAGTCTTGCCTCTTCAGGAAATGGGGCGTCGTTACGATGATCTGCGACCCCCTCGCAAGTCCAGACGAGAGGGATGCACGTGACTGGAATCCCGCAGTGCGTGCTCAGAACGAGCTCACATTAATGGGCTGCTATAAGAACGGAAATTTTGACGGTATGGAATGTGCTTTGCAAAGAAACTGTAGAAGCTCGCCGTCGGCACTAGTCGGCACTTGCTCAGCAGTCGCGCAGAGATATGGCATGCCAGTGAATACTTTCAAGGGGACGGCAGGCTCTTTAAATCGACCGGAAAATTCGGTTTGTACAAATTTTTTTGTAACATTTGCAAAGAGCGATCTTACCTGAGGAAAAATTAAAGAAAGAAAAAGGTTTAGCTCCAATGGAAACGCAGCAACGCCACCGGTCTTCAAACAACACGACGCCGTTTTGCACAGGAGACAAGAGATGGCGCTAGCGGTCGCGACGCCAACTGCCGCCAACGAACGAGCAGACGACGCCGAGAGCCGGTGTATTTAGCAGACAAGGAATTGCTGTTCCTTGCTGCTACCGCGCCTGTTTTTGTTTCTGTGACTGTCGCCGCCTGCGGAACGCGCGCCGCTTTTGAGTCGAAGGAATTGTCTGCTAAAGACGCTGGCTCTCGGCGCCGTATGCTCGTTCGTTGCGCCATCTCTTGTGTCCCGTGCGAAACGGCGCCGTGTTGTTTGAAGACCTGTGGCGTTGCTGCGTATCCATAGGAGCTAAGCCTTTTCCTTTTTCTACTTTTTCCTCAGGTAAGTTCGCTCTTCGCAAATTTTACAAAAAAAAAAAAAAAAGCACCATCTGTGGGCAACGCTTCACAACGTTGTAGCACAATAGGTTAAGAAACCAAATTTTGCGGTCGATTTAAAGAGCTTGCCGTCTCCTTGAATCACCCGGTAGAAGCACTGTACATGCGTTGATACTTTGGTACAGAAAACCTCCAGGTATTGAGTAAATATAAGGTGCCCCAGGCGAAAATTTTCAACTGGGACCAATTGGTCCCAGTTGCAACTGGTTTATGGAACAATTCCCAGTTGCTACTGGTCCCAGTTGGAGTCGTCCAACTGGTCCCAGTTGGAGTTGGTCCCAGCTGGAATTGGTCCCAGTTACAACTGGTCCCAGTTACCGATGGTACCAATTCCAGCAACAATGAAACACGGCACAAAATGGAAGGCTGACAAGACTTTATTGTCAAAAACTTGGAGAATGAAACTAAATAGGTGCGGTGACGTACACGCTCCGGGTTTAGCCACTTGCTTGCGACGGTTGAATCGCTTTTTCAGAGGTGGTATTCATGAGATGAAGGAAGATCGGCCGCTGGCGTCTGTTAGTGAAGACGTCCTCAGCTTCTCTTCCCGTCGCGTGAAGAAAGGTGCTCACCCGTGATCCTGCGTTGCGCAGGTGAAGTCCTGATAAGATGCGGTAGCGCTCCCACCTTGCAATCTCTGTCACAA